TAACATTATATTATTTAGAATCAAACGAGTATTTTATTCATGTGGAACCTTATTTTGAATTATTATTATTTAATTAACACTTAGTACTAATTTACTATAAACCAATATGCAACGACTTAATTAGATAATTGGAGATGAATAATTATCTCAAATGAAAATTTCAAGTAAATTTTTCGAACAAGAAATCTTTTCTTATCAAAGTATTTTGCTCTTTTGTTTGTTTTTTTTTCTTCACAAAAATAAAGATCATTTAACAGAAACAAATATCGTATTGAATCCAATGTATATTCGAACATTTCATGTAATTCTAGTCTAAATAATGATCGATATAACATTTCATTGTTTTTATTTTACATGATCTTCATTTGTAATATATACATTTTTATTAAATATCAAAGAAAACATAAATAAATAAATATATATATATATGTGTGTCAATTTGTCTGGATAAGACGAAACAAGAAGAAAAAAACAACAATGAGAACAAAAAAAGAAAACTTTTAGTTATACCTTTTTAAGTTTAATGATGATCAATTTGTCGAATAAAAAGAATAAGACCAAGAGTCAAATAAATAAAGAGAGCAATCACATATGTTGCCAATGACCAAGATAATGACCGACGTGAATGTATTAATGCTTGTTCAAAATATCCATGACGTTCACAATGTAAAGATTTTACAGCATAATAAACGGCAACAATACCTGCATAAAATAATTTCTTTTTTAAATATAATTTCAAAAGAAAAATAGAAATCATATAAAAATTCTTTATCATTAATCTTAACTAACCGGTGACAAAAAATAATAAAGTTGAAATAATTGCACAAACCAAATGTCTTTTAGGATGAGCCTTTCTATAAGTATATGATTGAAATGGACTGCGTAATTGTGCATCTATATATATATATATATATTATTAAAATAACATTTGTTGAAATAATTAATAATTTTCTAAAATATTTCATACCAAGTGTCGTACAACCACGTTCACCAACTAAAGATGGAGCTGATGATGACCATCGACATGGTGATAATTTTTGATGACTATGAAGAGCTGAACAAGCTCTTGATGAAAACATAATTAATGTTCACAATAATATTAAACAAGTTTTTTGTTTTCCTTGTTTTTCACAATGATAATGTCATTCCTATAAATACATCTTCTTAGATTATTATTAGCAATACAAATCCTAATATTTTCAAAGATGTCAGGAAAGATAATTTATAACTGGAAAAAAAAAATATATGAAAGATATGAAAAAAAAAGAACTTGAATAGATTTTCTTTCTTATCAATAAACACCTATGTCAATTAGCTGTACTCTGTTTATAAAATAAAACTAAATATTACTACAATCATATCGTACTTATTGTCTAAAATAAGAAATGACTTTTCAACTGCGTCAGACTATCCTATCTTTTTTCTTCTTCTTTTTTTTTTTTTTTCAAAAAAAAACTCATGATGTACATTCTTCTTCTCAATAATTCTTCTTAATTATAAATTGACATAATAAAACTTCTGTCAGTTTCGTCAAGACTTCATTATAATATTTAATAAATACAAATTAAAAACTCAATAAAATGACAAATCAAATGAAAATTTTCATTCATTATTCGTTTAGAAAACTGACAATAATAATACCAAAAACAAAAAAAAAAAAGAAGAAAAAAAAAGACAAAGAAGAACAGAAGCAAAAAAGGAAAAGACTGAGTATGACGCACGGAAGTCGTTCGTTCGCTTGCGTGAGATGTTCACAATCAATTATTCTATATGCAAGAGTATGTGCATACAAAAGTGATCTAGTATAAAGAAAAGCAATGTGACACAAAAAAAGAAGTAGGAAAAGATGACTTGGTGAGATTATTTTCAAAACACGCATAGAAATCTCATTGTGAAAAACAAAAAAGGGAAATTCATTTCTGATTAGAAATTATAAAGTTTTTTTTATATCATGATCAAGAAGATCTATTACTGAGAGTGGCAAGGAAAACAATGGTAAAGATGAATATTTTACTATATAAGATTTATATATTGAGCGTCACTTCAGATCATACGCTAATGATAATATTCTATGTTGCATGTTTAATATATTCCTTCATTTAAAAACACATGAGATCTAGAAGATTTATCTCATAGTCAGAAGCCTATTAATAACAACAATCAATGATTCTATTTCATCAAAAACGACTGTTAGCATCAACTAAGTTCCTTCCTATTATATCTCAAGCTGTAGTTAAGATAGCAAAATAAGATTTTTGTTATTATTGTCCTGATGTGATGGCTTATTAAAAAAACGAAGAGGTCATTTTATTTGATACTGTAGTAAGTAACATAATTATTAACCGCAATAGTGTTCTCATTTCATTTTGTCTATTCATATTCTCTTCAATGGAAAGAAAAATATCATAAACTAGTCGTATATAATTATACATTCAAACTTCTCTAATTACTGCATATCTAGAAGAAACAAAAGATCCAACTTTTCCTTACTTGTAAATGATAATAATTTTGTAGGACAAAAATAATCATAGTCTTTAAAAGTTTTTTGTTATTCTTTATTCAATGAATATATATGTATATATATATAAGAAGATAGGATCTCAATCTCCAATCGATTGTTGTTGTTGTTTTTCTTTCTGAAGTCTCTACTAGTTAATGATATTTTTCCTCTTCTCTCTCTCTCTATCTCTCTCTCTCTCTCTCTCTCTCTCCTTTTATTTCATCCATCCTCCTGCGTTTCCGCTTTCCTATTACTAAAGATGAACGCAAGCGATAAAAGTGAATAATGAAAATGCGTATAGATGCCTAGTACGCAAGAAAACATCATCATCATCATCATCATCATCATCATCATCATCTGTTTGTGCATAGTTGTTCTTTACGTTTTTTGGGACTTGGCATTGTCGGTACTATTGCACGAAGAGATTCTTGCAAACCAATATTCTAATGTTAATTTGTTAGCCGAGTCGAAGAAAAATAAAGGAGAATTGCTGAAGCAGAATAAAAGAGAAGGGGAAAGAGAAAATCTGACGATGTTTGCGTGTATGAACGCAGAACAAGTTAATATCATATTGTGCGCATAGAACAGCAGACATGCAAAGTCTCACGCCAAAGAGACGTATGAATATAACAATTGTTCATAGACATGTAGAATTGAAGAAAAGAGATAAGAAGTTGATTCCCAAAAGATTTATTTAAACGAATAAGACTACTCAAACGAGACGAGAATGAAAAAAAAAACAAAGATTTATTGTATCGATTGACATCGGTTTAGTAAATAATGACACTCGACATATGGTAAAAGGAAAGAGATTTTAATTATTTTCATTGATTATCTATGGATATGGAAAAAAAGAAGGAAGACAAAAATAATGCTTTTCAATTATGCTAGAATAAATTTCTTTTCGAGAAAAGTGTCACGCATATATGCGTGATGTGTTCATTTTTTTTTGTGTTGTGTCTATGACGGACAAAAACAAAATATATTTTAGAATAGGATTTAAATATATTGATATGCTTATTAGATGAATCAGAGTTCCTTTTTGATGTCAAATGGCGCGAAAAAACTAGATCAAATTGATTCACTTTATCTAATATAGTTACTTTCAAGACTTTTTATAGTAACAATAGATTATACGTTTCTTATTTTTATTTTTTTGTTAATATGAATAGATTTTATTCAATGGTTAGTGGTTGAAATGTATTAATTGTCGCTTTCTATGAATTGTCACTAGAATAAACATTGTAGTTATAATGATTCTTAAATGGATTTTTCTGCTTCTAGCCATACATCTAATTGATAGGTATTGTTAGAAATAAAAACTAAGAATTTTAGGATTTTACCGTGAACAAATACAATTTAAGTTTACTTGTCATGATATTTATCGACTAATGTAGAGTGCTTCAATACAATAACAAGTAGATTGCTTTCGAACATTGATTTAACACGTCACTCATGGTAAAACAACTAATGTAATAATTCAATAATAATTTCAATGATCTCTTCAATCTTATAGATCGATTAATATTCTTACTATTAATCTGTAGATATAAATATCAAACAAAATTTATTTATTTGATCTTAAGAAGAAAAAAAAAGAGAAGACTCCCATATGGAAATCTTTCCTAAACAGATGTTTGAGCATTTGACAGATACTAATTGAATATAGTTGATAGGTGTCAATAGATGATCAATGACTGATCATATCAGTTGATGGAATTGTGATGTTGACATAAAAAATATAGTATTAGAAAATTATTGTATTTTAATTCTTATATAAGAAAACGTAATAGAAAGATCGAATAAATCGTTTAAAGAATGTGTTCAATAAAAACACTACGCAGTTAATATAATGGAAATCAACATTTATTTTTACACTATTTAATATTCTAACGATATGCAATATTTGCTTGTGCTAATCTTAGATCTTTAAGTGAAGAGAAAACAAAAAGAACCAAAAAAACAAAATGTTTATTTCTTTGTCTGATTTTATCCTTTTTTTAAAATAATCTTATCGAAAATCTACATGAGAAAGTTTCGATTTAAATTATAAATTAATAAGATCCTTATTATTTTTTTGTACTTCAATTCAAATAAAATATGAATCTATTTAAAATAAAGTATTTTAATCAAACATAAATTTATCTCATTTATAATAACAATTTATTGAACCATTAAATTTCTCTTTATTGTATCAAGATGTTTATTTACGAAACAATGTTTCATTTAAATATCTTTTAATCACAAAAACAACAAATAACTAAATATAAAATACAATGACAGTTACTTTTGATTAGAAACTTTTTCTTTGGACAAACTTATTATCGAAAGGTTCTAAAAGAAAAAAAAAACAATGACAGATATAATGAAAATAAATTTTATCTTTTATCTCTACCGTTGGTTTTAACACATTACTAATGCTTGTTGTTATAATAGATGATGACAATGAAACTAAAAATATATTCTTTTTTTGTTTTTGTTTTATATATAGAACATATAATTACATACAATTGTTATCTACAATTTCTTTTTCAAATGTCATTATGGTACAAATAATTAATGAAATTACTCCAAGTATCATTAATGCCTAAACAAAAGATTTATTGATTTATTAAAAATAAAAGAAAGATATTCTAACTTTTGTTTTGAGAGTATCTATTCCATTGGGCATAACATGAAGAGTAATTATTGCAGGAAGTATATAACAGATTAATTGTCCACTTGTTGCGCCTGTTAACGCTAATGCAAATTCAAGATTTGGTATAAATATTGCAATAAATGTTGGTAAAAAAACGACAATTGCTGTAAATATAATAAATAATCGTCGAGGAATAATATGACGTTCACCAAAAAGAGATTGTTGTTGCTAGAATAAAAATAGAAAAGCAAATCAATAGATCTATTCAATATGATAATAAAAAAAAACATCATATTTACTCGATCATTCCATAATGTAAATAAACTTCCGCGTGTAGGATTAACCATAAATGGAATACCAGTCGTACAATTAAGTATAAAACCCCATAAGAATATTTGTTGAAATAAATTTTTTGGAAATATTTGCATTATATTTCCGGGAATAAATTCATAGATTGAAAAAAAAGCTAAATAACCAAAAAAACCAGACTAGAAGAAATAAAAATATATTTTATTTTCTTCTGAATGAATAAAGAAGATTTATTTTATTTTTACTATGAAGTAAATAAATCCGACAAGTATCACCGATAAATCAATAATATCATTCATAGCATGCGATGTTGAATCAGATAATTCCGAAAAAACAATAAATAACATTCTGAAATTAAAAATTTAAATAGTTTCGCCGAAAGTCACTCTTTTCTTTTGATATTATATTTGATGTATAAGAATCTTTTTTATCATCATTTTGAAAATCCTCATTGGATATTTACGAATTATGATGAGTTAGAAGATTTATAATTTGTGAAGTTCTCTACTAGTACAAAGCATACATTATTTGAAAATATGAAGTCTTACATATTAATGTTGTATTATCATTTCGTTAATATTGATTTAGACTTATACCTATCCCAGTGAAAAATATTCATCCAATCATCATGATTATTTTTGATGATAGACTAAATAGTTTGATTTTTTGCCCGAAAATCAAATTTTTTAGAAATAATTCGATTAAAATCAATTACAATAGTCATAATTGATTAAAATCTCAATCGAATTAGATATAATTTCAGAATTTTAATTCATTGAAATCGATTTTATTAGATTAAATCAGATTTTTATTTATAATCGATTATAATGCTCACAATCAATAATAATCTCAATTTAATTAAATCTGATTTCAGATTTTTAATCGATTAAAATTGATTATATTAGATTAAATCAGATTTTTATTTATAATCGATTATAATTCTCACAATCAATTATAATCTCGATTTAATTAAATCTGATTTCAGATTTTTAATCGATTGAAATCAATTTAATTATTTTGATTAATTTTAATCGATTGTTAACGTCGATAAGGTATGTGTGAAGACACTTTTAAATTTTTTGTTTTGGTCCATATTAATGTTTCTACAAATAACTGAATAATCGATTTTAACAGTATATAGGACTTTTATCTAGGGAGTTCGTGTTGAAGTATTGGGAACTTCATTTTTTTTCGAAGCACTTGATTGTCAATCAAACACTATTAGATGTAAGTTCTTTGAGGTCCCGGTAGCACAAAGTACTCAATTGTCCATCATATAGATACGCGACGCTGTTCAATAACCGCATTACGATTTGAATAGTTTCTTTCAAGTAGAATGAAATTTCATTCTCAAGATCGATTTATTTCGTAAACAATGTCTTGTCATCTAGAGCTTTTCTAAGATATTGACTCTAAGAGTAGTATGACAAGTGTATACCTCTATTATTTATCATACGAACGGATCAAGAAACAAGGAAGTTCTCGTACAGTGCCATAGGCATGGACATGGTTAGAATGATAAAGTCTCGTTTTACCTTACATACGGGCAAGATATTTCGGACAATTCCGTTTTTAGTATTGAGTTCTCATAAAGTTCAGTCCAGCGTTGTTCTTTTCACCAAACATATAGTCACTGTTTATACTACGTTCACAGGAAGTAGCATCATTAGATGTTGAATCATAGTAGAACACGGAATATGAAAAGCTGAATATGTCAGTTTTTGTGGAACAGATTGTTTTGGAGGATCTATTAAATTACGTTTTGTGAAACACGAACTCAAACAAGTGCTGAAGTATATAGAATAGAAACCTTGGCCTCACAACTCGTGACAGACGGTGGGGTGGAGACCATCACAGATCATGACAGACGGCAAGGGGAGAGCACAGATCTTCAAAGGCTGGGACAGGTGGTAGTGGATAGACACGGTCACAGATAGTGACAGATTGGAAGGCGAGGCCATGAGACACCGTGATATACGGTGGGGGTCGCAGACCATCATAAACAGTGACAGATTGGCCTGCGAGAGCATCACTGATCTTGACAGACGGTGAGGAGCAGAGATCATCACAGACCGTGACAGACGATAGGGGCAGACACGGTCAGAGGCGGTCGGGATCAGATACGATCAGAGAGTGACAGATTAGGGGGTGAGAGCATGGCAGACCGCGACAGACGGTGAGGGACGGAGACCGTCAGAGATAATGACAGGTTTGCGGCGAAGCCATCACGGACTGCGATAGACAGAAGGTAGTGACCGAGACCATCAGAGATTACTTAAATAGGGCAGGATTAAATTAGAATTAAAATCGATCAGAATAAGATTTTTCTACCGATTAAAATTGATTAAATCAATTTTAATCGAAATTATCAATGAGATTATTATGCAACAAAATCGAAATTAAAATCGATAATAATCAGAAATGTTCAATCGATTATAATCGGACGATTATAATCACAATTATAATTGTCCGTCTCTGGTTATAACTGATTGATAATATCTGATTTTAATCGATTTCAATTTTGATTTTGTTGCAGAATAATTGGATTTGTGATTTTGATTATGGCCACAGGATTTTGAAATTTTAATCGCTGAAATTTTTCACTGGGTACTATGAAAATATTCATATATTTTCTTTTTAAAAACTTTCTAGACAATTGTCTTAACTCAAATCACATAAGTAGACTTTCAAATCAAATTATCATTTAGATTACACATAAAAATTCAAAAAAATAATAGTAACATCAGTAAATTATCCAGATTGTCTCTTCCATAAGGGCGAACACCTATTTTTGGATGCACAGACACAGAGTATAAAGTAAAATAATCACAAATTTCGGTAGAGTGAATTCGGTCTTGTGTTGGGACCGAGACCAATCATTTTTCATGGAAAACAGTATCTTTTATGGTTATGTAAAATTTGCATAAAATGTCATATTGTCACAACTCATGTGTCCTAAACAGATATGGACAAGATGGACTCGGTCGAATTCTTCTATCGATCAAAATCGTACTTGTCCATTCTCAGATTATAAACTAATTGTAAATATCTCACAAGAGTTATTAAATTGCATGTATTCTATGGTAAAAGGAGTTAGTACCAACTCTTTTTTGTTTGTTTATAGAAGTTTCTGAATGGTTGAATTCAATCGTTTAATAAAAAATAAAATAAAAGAATACATCAATCTGTAATAATATGTTTTCGATTTCAATATTTTTCTTCCAGTACAGATCGGAAACACTTATTTGAACTCCATCAAAAGTTATACTATGTTTGTTCTAACTATCAACATTTTTCAAAAATAATTCTTCAATAATATATCAAATCTCTTTATACAGAATGCTTAACATATTGAGTTCTTTCTACAGATGGACAATTACAACTAGGAACTGAAAATTAACTTTGGGGTTGATGTTTTTTCTCATCATGATTGGATTGGTGTTTAGTGGGATTCTCCATCTCAGGTTCTTTCATTCTATAGTTAAACTTTCGAAATTCCAATAAATTATAACTAGCAAACTTTCATGAATTAAAATTCTTACGTTTGACATGAGAATGAGAGTGATACAATTGGTAAACTAACAAATAAGCCACTCCATCTCCAATAAACTAGTTTATTAATATTAAATGATGTTTCCATTGAATTTAACCATAATTGAACAAATGTCTACAAAAAACAAACGCATGAAATTTTCTGAGTTAATCATTTTTGTATAATTACATAAACACCAAAAAGAAGATAGAATAAAATCGATTGAATTGATATTGGTGTTAAATGATCAAATCTTTCAGATAAACTTATTGGAAATGAAACCGTACATGTCAATACTATCATTACTAAAGCTCTTATTGATGGTGAATTCTAAACTAAAAAAAGAATATGAATAAATTAGATAAAATTTAATTGAAATTCACCGTTATATTAAATGCTTGTGAAAAAACGACTGAACCAAGATCACCAATAATCATTTGATAAGCTACAATTGAACCCAATAGAAGACCAATGGAACTAAAATTTAAAAATATGAATAATTTTTATTTTTATTTTTGAAATAAAATTACCTTAATTCCACAATTAATTTCATTGAACGTCCTATTATCTTTTTAAAATTAATTAAATTCATTCAAATAAGTTTGAGTTTTTATTCTCACCCATTGCTCGTAAACCTAAATATTCATAGGTTGTTGAGTTCGTTGTTTGAGCACTTGCGATAAGAATTTTACATGAATATGATGTAATTAATGCAGAAATAATTATTAATAGTGTTGCTAAAATAACTCCACACTAATAATGAAAAAATTGAATTTTTATTTTTTATGTAATAATTAATAAACTAAAATTTTAATTACTTGTTGAAAACAATATGCCATTGAAAGAACAGATGCACCAACAATAGCATTTGATAAACTTAATACACTTTTTTGTGGAAAATTTGGTTGCAAAAATTTACTAAAGCTTAATTGCATTATGAATCTAGAGATAAAAATAAAATGATAAAAAATAGAATATTGTATATTTAATTAATGAAGAGATATTTTTATAAATAAAATGAAAAGATTTTGTTCTAGTAACAATATTGTGAATTTCGAAATTAATAATTAAGCTTAATGCGAACAAAGATAGCACTATGAAAAAAAAAAAGATTTTCCAATTTGGATATACTTCTGTTATGTGCTAATTTTTCTTAAATAAACTTTCCTAATATGATTCTCGTCCTTAACATCAACAACAACAGAAAAAGAATCTAACCTTTTACATTTGATTCCAGCAGCTCCGATGAAATAAAGTAATGAAAATGTACAAAAAAAGAAAGAGAAAAAAAGGAAAATTAGATATTCACTTCTAATAATCGTATATGATTCATCTAACCCAGACAAAAAAAAATCATACAAACATCTAAGAATAATTATTCTGTCTTTTCTAAGTTTATTATAATTCACTCATTGTGGTGTAACATCACGAAAAGCAATTGAATATGGTTGCATTTGTTTTAGGAAAAGATTTAACATATCAGTTAATGCTTTTGATTTAATATGTTCAGCTGCATCAGGTATTTGTGTTATAAGTTCTTTTAATTTATTTGATGTTTCTGTTTCCATACAACGACCAAGACATTCTTGTAAAGCAATTAAATCTAAACATGCTTGCATACTACCAGCTTTACTAAATTGATTTATATTTGAATATAATTTAGCTAATTCATTAACTAATGTTGATAATATACATGATAAAACAATAAATACTAATTGACTACTTATTGAATATATTTCAGCATGTACACGTGCTAAATCAAGTATAATATGTTTAACATAATCTTTAACTGATATAACACGTATATGTGTTGCCCAATCAAATCTTCCAGCATACATACGAGATTCTAAACGATGTAAAAATGGTCGAAGATATTCATTTTGTACTGTATCTAATAATTGTTCATCAACACGTTTATATATAATTTCAGTTTCATCATAAACACGATCCATACCACGAAAACCATAATTAAGAAAAAGTTTTTTTAAACGTGGAAGTATAAAACGGCGTGTATAGGCAAAGTTATTTAATATTATTACTAAACACATTGTTTTAGATAAATGTTCAGATGAATTTATCATTATTGTTGATGATGATAATGGTTCAATTGAATTTGATGTTGATGATGAACAATCTTTTATTAACATTTGAAATACAGATGCAAAATCACCTAATAAACGATAAACAGCTATAGCTGCTTGTTTTGTTGCTTCTTTATCTTCAAAAAACTGTAAAAACAAATAATTGTTTTTTTTTGTATTATTGAAATAGATTAAAACATATATGTATACTAACTTTTCGTTCTCCTTTTATTACATTAGCTGAAAGAACATTTTCATTGATAATATTTGCTTTCGTGACAACCATATCATGAAATAAATTTGGTAATTTTGTATGTGAACCAAGTTGTTCATCATATTCTAATTCCCATGTTTCTTGAGTATTTAAACGAGATACTTCTACAAACAATAAGCATTATGAACTTGTACCTTTCGAATAAGTCTTAGAAAATAAGGTTGACTTTTTCAAAAAAAAAAACAACTTTCGTATCTCTTCTTGTTTATATATGAATATTCATTAAAAACTATTTGTTTTGGCAAAAGTAAAATGACGGCGTAACGGTACCCACCCCTTTTCCTCGCTCGAAATTTTTGTTTTTTTTTGTAGTCATTATAAAGTTGCAAGTAGTATTTATCTATTGAATACTTTTTTGGGATTCAACAATTGTCTTTAAAGGTTGAAAATTTCGAGAAGAAATCAAATTTACATAACAACAAAAGCTAAAATCGTATATTGTTTTGCGTTTTTTCACAAAAATTAAATTTTTAGCAGAAAAGTACTGTTTCGCCTCCGTTTCTTCGACACGGTAAGAGGGATCAAGCTGAAACATTTTTCACATATTCTAGTCATTATTTGGGGTGAGTATTTTTTTTTTTCTTTTCAAGAACTATTGCTCATATGATTTTTGGTAGCTTTCACAAAATTTGCTATAATAATAAAAACAAGCGTTTTTTTAGGGTAGGCTCGGTATTTTGACTTTTTTTTATTGAAATGACAAAAGATAGAAAGAAACTAAAAAATAATACTCACCCCAAACAGTATCTAGTACCTGCAAAAAAAAATTTCAGTTCAATCGAACATACTGTCTCGGAGAAACAGGAGCAAAAACTAGAGGCCATTTTTCGTCATTGTGACTCTATTATCTTATAGAAGACAGCGTCCGGGAATTTTTAGTCTATGACAACTTTGACTGTACTCATCAAGATCTACCTGTCCTGAAAATTTTAAATTTTTCTAATAAGCCGTTCTCAAAAAACTCCGAAAACCGGGGCGTGGTAACCTTAACATGTATAAAACAACTTATCTTGACTATTAACGTGCTCTTAAAATAATAAGTTATGTTAAAGTAGCTATTTATTAATAATCAGCGTTATTTAGATAATTATATGATATTTACTATTGTTAAATGATATTTTTTTGTGATCATATGAAATTAAAGGTCATGATCAGATTGACCTGTGATGCGAAAGTCTTAGCATAAAATTTTCACGTATTTTTCGGCTACTAAAAAACAACTAGTTAGAGTTAGTTAGAATCGAAATTTTCTCGCTATTTCTGAATAACTGTCATGAAAAAGTAATAGCATGCTTTGCTCTACAAAAGTGTGTCAATAAAAACTTTTGTATTTTGAATTTGATAGGTTTCAATCGTAAATATATAAGAAATCTTGAACACATCTTCGGGAAAAGTCTGATTCTAAATAACTGCTTCTGGCTCTAACCAGCTATTATTAAATAGCCAAAAAATGCAAGATTTTGTGTAAATTTAACTTATTGTTCTGAGAAATAAGCGTAGAAAATTGATTTTAGTATAAATAGTATGTTGAAATGAAGTGTACTGTATTCTACAAAAATCATTAACCACCTATGATTCTATTAAATAATCAAATTAATCGAACATTTTCATCTATGACCAATTTACAGTTAACCCTCCGATCATTTCTAGTTTTATTGGGTAGATCATCCCTTATTTTTTTATGACGACAACCAAAGGTTTGTACATCAGGAATTGTTTTATGGTAAGTTCATCTGCAGAAGTTTCCACACATTTGTTCAATAGAATTGAGGTCGGACGATGTTGATGGCTAGTCGAGTTTTTGAACTTCATTCTTCGACCTCCATCCATTTACAAATTTCAATATGTGCTAGAGATCTTTATCTTCCTGCAGCTTTCAATTAGTTGATTCGCTCACAAAACTGATCCCAGGTTCTCAACACGAAATTGCGCTTATGGATAGTTTGTTGACTTTAATCGAAATCTTGACAGTTTGAATCATATTCTTCTTTCTTGGAAGTTTCCAGACATGTTGCTTTACTTGATTTAGATGAACAGTAGTTTCGTCTTAAAAATAGTCGGATCCCAATTCATAACATTCATTGTTTGAGCCCAATAAAAACGATAAAGTAAATGCTCTTAATGATGTCAACCTCTTGCTGTTTCAAAGCATTCTGTATATCTCGAGTTGCCACAAATCGATCTTTGCTGCTATGCGAGGTCGCTCCGAACGCTTCAAATCGTTCAAACTTGTCGATTCATAGTATCGATTGAGTCAATATTGCACAGTACTCTTCGTACACTTCACTGCATTCGCAACGAGTTTCAAGGCAACCTATGGTCCCCATTGGATGATGAGATAACACGATTTCATACTAATTGTCCAGTGACAGTGGTATATCATACGAATGAAGCATACAATAATCTTTAAACGAATAACCATACAATCTTAGCACAAGAAGTCTTAGGCTACCTATTTATACTAGTTAAATGGAATGTTAGAGCAAGCTCTAGAAATTCCGAAGGGCCTGAAATTTATATCACTATTAACTATTCTCAAATGTCTCATTGAGTAATTCAAATATTAGCATTAATTATTCGCGCTATAAAACAGTTGTTTTTATTTCTCTTTGACTTCTGAAATATATTGTTAAAATAAAACGTTAGCTGTCTCACAACTATGCAAGTGGAAAAGGATAAAATTAATATAAGAATGTAGACGCGGCAATAATCTTCACTTCTACACACCTTCAACTATATCTACAACCTTTCTAGACCAATCAATCAACCCCAAAAGATATACACTTCATTTCTATATACTTTTTATATTAAAATAAATTTCCTGGTTCAACTCAATGCTAAACTACGAGTAGTTTGATTTCAATTGAATGTGTACAAATTAATGATGTATTGAAATTTGAATTTCCTAGAAAAAAGGAATTTACCACACCCTCCTTACGTTTCGTGTTTTTTTTCTCATGAAATTACTGAAACAAAAGCTAATCCATGATTATGCCTAAAACGTCAAGTGCTTTTAGGAATATTCAAAAAACAATCTAATCGATACCGAGTACTTATGTTTACCTAAGCATGCATGATCCATAATAACTTTAAAACATTCTAAACGCAAATCAAACATAAGTTCTTGTAAATCTTTCTTAAAATCAACTTGTATATCAAGTGAAACAAGACGTAATATGCATAAACTATGAAAAATTAAATAATAATAATATTTATTTGAAAGAATTTTAAATAAATTTACCGGCAATTTTGTACGCAATGTGGTAATGTCTTAACACGTTGATAAGTTTCATCAGCATTTGCATATAGTTCATCATCTTGTGTTGGTGTCATGTCGGACTTTGTTGTTGTCAATCGACTTAATAAATTAAGCCGAACAACACTTACAAAAGTTTGAATAATTTCTTTTGTTAATGCCTAAAATATAATAATCAATATTAATAATTTCTTAAATAAATATTTACTAGAAATTCTGGTGCTTTATGCATATAAGTTCGATCAATTTCTTCGGATCTCTAGAATTTTTAAGAATATATATTTTTATAAAAACAAAATTCATTTTCATTTACTTCAGATAATGGATAAAGTTTTCTTTTTATATATAATTGTATTAAATACCATAAATCAGGAAAAGCTGTTGTAAGTACATCACATGCTTGATCAACCATAGCTGTTGCTTGATCATGAATGTGAAGTTTTATTTCATGAGCTATTTTCACAAATATAGTAGAGAAAAAAAAACAGCTAGAAAGTTTGATATCTAACAAAAGACTCTTTCAAATCATTTCAGTTGAAATATAAGAAGACATAAACTATCTATCCAATAAATTCATCAGATTGACGCTTCGTAGGCCTAGTCGATCCATTTCTTCGATCTGTCATACGTTGTTTGTCTTCTGATCTGTCACGAGCTTATGAAATAACAACTTGCGTTTTTTTAGAGACGCATAAACACATATAAGCAAACTCGATGGCCTGTTTGTATAGCCTATCTAGACCACAATTTTTGAACCCAGTCGCATTGTATTTTGATACCCTCAATGAAATGTTCTAACCATAATTTGATAGTCGTCTCGATGATAAGAGATAACTTTTTCAGATTTTTATATTCGGTGACTAGCATAGTCTGCACATTTTTCAAACGACTAGAGCTCTTTGGATGCAAAACTTTCTGGTCTGGGACCAACCCGAAGGATTTTGTCTATTTCAATCTCCGATCCATTACTGTTTATGATATCGCTAATAGCCTGAGGGGAATTTTTCGAATTCAAATCCAAAGATTGTTGAATTTTTTTTTTCTAAGGAAAATAAAAAGATTTACACTGTTGTTGTTGTTGTTGTTTTGGATCAACTGCACATGAACGAAGTACATCGATAAGTGCTGCTTTTTGATGTATAATACAATCCCATGCTGGGTCAGCTCTTGGATCAAGTGAATGTAAATAACGAATAAAAAGTTTTTGATCATCAATAGATGATGGAAATTCTGTAAGACGTTGACGAAATAATGTACGTAAATTTTGTATTTGTTGTTCGACTTCTCGTTGAACTAAAATAAGAAATATTTACTAATATATCTTCAACGTGAATTACATACTATTGCGAAATACTTTTGAATCAACCGTTTCAAATGCTGCACGAGCTCGTACAAGATCATTGATTACTTTTTCATATTCTTCCTATATTAAAATTTAAAAAAAAAAGTAAACAATGATTTTGTTGTATTTTAATAATTCAATATACTCGTTTGACACTTCGTTCAATAGTTTGTGGTAAATGAAAAATAAATTTATATCTTTGTATAACATTTAAAGCATTACGTATTGTATCTGAATAATCCTTTCGTGCTAAATCCGTATCATACATAGAATGAGCAATACGAGAAATTTCTATAAGAGAACAAATCATGCACATTTTAAATAAATCCTGAATAAAACAATAAAAGACCTTCAATTAATTTAATCACTGGTTCATAAAAATTTTTCTTTCGATCGTCAGCTGATAAACGTCGAATGTCTAAATGTAAACGAAAAAATAATTTCTTTTTCTCTTTCAAATAAACAAACCTTTCATTATATCAACAGCTTCCATAAATGATGCTATATTATTTTTAACAAGTGTTGTTGATGCACCTTTATTATCAACACGAGTTCTTTGGAGATGTTCAAAATTTTGATTTAATTCATCGAAACTATATTTATTCAAATGAATTTCAATTCTTTTATTAAAACAAAACAAACAAACATTTTACTTACGTAGCATTTGATTTATAAGCAAGCAAATAATAATATGGATTAAAATTTGGTTGAGTTATGTCAGTACTACCTAAAAAACAGATATAGAAGTTTTATAAGATTTACTTTTTTTTTCACATTTTCAGAATAAATCAAATTGTATCAAGGTCTATACAAAAAAATCTGCTAATAGTGACTGAAATTTCGAAATGTTCTCAAGATGAAAGTCAGGACTTCGTGTAGGACGTTACAGTCCTACTTTATCCTATGGGGTGAAATAAAATGGAACAATCCTATCCTCTAACTCATAAGCGGAATGAGATGAAACAGTCCCATCACATCCCATGAGACGTTTATTAAAAGACTGACGTCCCGTGTAAAAACTAGCTACTTATGTTGGCATTTTTTACAAGGAAAAATATTACTATTTTTACATATTATATAGACGACATACTTGTCTATTTCACAATAAAAAAAAGTAAAATTTTGTTCTATTCTGTAAGTAGTTCTGCATTCTACTCATAAGAGTGCAGTAAAATGAATATTAATGAATGAATAATAAACAAATGATGCACTTCTGTTGATTTTAATAGATTCAGTTTTTAGTAAAAACTTATAAAACATCTTCTGAAGATTCATTATCATCTGTTATTGAATGTCAGTCTGATTCATCTGAATAAAGAATGGTTGTATGAGAAAAGAAAATACCAACACTCACCGAGAGAACAAAGAAAGGAGAGTACAAATTGAAAACGACACAATCTAATTTTATCGTTATACATCATAACAAAACAGCTCTTATCGAAATTTTATTATTATGGGATTAACTAAAGAATGATCAAATATCACAGAAACAAATAGAGCATTGTTTTTTACTAACATTATATATAAAGAGAAAATTTCATCAAGTCATCTATATGAAAATAAAGTATTTCTACCACTACCTTTGAATTGCTCTCAATGATATTAAATTTTGTATAATTAATCAAGCGGATAGATGCATTAATAACCTACACTTTGTTGAAAATCATTTAACGAATACAATGTCCCATGGGGCGACTTTTTCTGTTCTTCGAGCAATCCTTATTCAAAACAAATATGAAACTATCATACACTTATTATTAAATGAATAAATCTCAATATAAAAGAATTGAAATCTAAATGACATTGATGAATAGATCTAAATTATAGGTAAAATAATCTGCTGCTTTGCTAACGAATGTTCTTGATAAAAAATAATAGTCTGTTGCAAAGTTCATTTCAGGCATTATCAATTCATTTTTAAACGTTTTTTGTTGAGATAAACTGAAAACAAAAATTTCAAAAGCGAGAAGAGATCATTCAACAATACATTAAATACTAATAAAACATCGGTCTAAAGTCAACTTCATCTTACGAAATGTCATTAAGTCTACCAGCGCCAATAATTTCATTAAACATAGAAATGATATTCATCATTTCATATCAAATCTTCGTCTTCGTTCTTGTTGTCTCTTCATCCGTCGAATACAATTCATATATAATAAAAACATCATTACTTAAATCATTAATTCAACGACGACAATTATTAGATGGTACAGCAAAAAATGATGGTATAGCACCTAAACCACCAGATAGTGATATTAGTTTTAATCAAAATGTAATATCACATTTAACACAACAATCAATTATTAATCAAATATTTCCTACGACAATAACAATAATAATAAAAAATGACTTAGCCGAAGATCGTTCAATTAAAGATACAAGTTCATCAAAATCTAAATCAAAAGCTAGTCTTATTGCTTCTATTCTAGCACCAACTGGTATTGTAGGTTTAATTGGTTCTATTATTGGTATATTATTTTATAAAAACAATCAAACTAATTCATCAATAAATGATACTAAAGGATTTTTTAATAAACTTTTTAGTAAAAATTCTAATGCAATTATAGAAAATAAATTAGAAGAAAAATATTTACTTGTTGGAAACATTTCATAAAGTTCTTCAGCTGGAGTAACACTACTGAAAAAAAAATAATAAAACATTCAATCAATATAATCTGCAAAGACTTTCGAATAACTTACGAACTATCCGTAGTTGATCCACTCATTGTATCACCAGTACCAGGTAAAAAAGCTGGTGCTTTTGATGTATTTAAACCAAATAAAGTTACTGCATCTTCGTCAATCCATACAGCAACTTCTTGAAATTGTCCTTTTAAAAATCAAACAGATTATTTTTCCTCTTTATGAAAAAAAAAACAAAAACAATTTTTATTATATTACCTGCTTGTTCAACTCGTCCATAAAATCCAACGGAACATGAACCTATTCCACCACTTTTTGTTACAACAATAACATCACCTTTACCTTGACCATGTCCAGCATAGGCAACTATTTTATTTGGACTCATCCATGAAGCTGTTGCTCGACAATCATCACCACAAATTTTTAAACCAATAAAATCTTTGTCATCTGTACCCAAGTTTTCACCTCGAATGGTAATTTTTATACCTGGACAACCTTCACGAGGTGATATACCAGTTACAAGAGGTGGAGGCATTTGATAGGTTTTATTTTTTAATCGATATCTAAAAATCTTACGTTCATTAAAATTCTTCTTCTTTCCTTTGATATGTTAATAATTGAATTTCTTATATATCAAAATTTAGTACATTATGAAAATTGTTACTTTGTTGATTTTGAACAACAAATTTTAGAATTAAGAACAATAAAAAATTATACTTTGTGATTCATTTCATCTGTTAAAATTGACGTAACAGATTTAAATGATTTCTTAATCATAATAAAGATGTAAAAACAAGCAGAAGGAAAACGTGTAGATCTAAAGGTATGTTGAAGATGAAAAGTGAGGATGTTGAAGTTTTCTAAAAAATTTAGATGGAGGTGTATATGAAATATTTCAAAAAAGTGAATAGAATACTCAGAAATTTTCTTTGCTTTCTATAATCTTTTTTCTTGATAAACAAATCGATTTTTAATGCTGTAAAATGAAAATTTCAGTTCTAATTTATTTTAAAAATATACTAGTAGTCCGCATTAGTGTAATATCCATAGCACTCACTAATGCTTAAAGACAAGGACTGTGTCAAAAATTAAAAAAATATCAAAATTTCCTTAAATTAGGACGGTATGCACAATATCTGTGTAGGTATATATTAAATAAAAGAGCTTTTGGAATGGTATAAATCGATTAACCAATCACGTGCATGCATGCATAGTAAAGCACTAGAATCAATGCATAACAACTTTTCATATGATTCATCTTTCATGAGAGACTCATCAAATCAAGACTTTTTGGTTTAGTTAGTCACATGTCTTTAACATAAAAAATTAATGATAGAATCAAAACTTTCTTCATCATTATCTATTCTTATCGGATCATTTAATACTCATAAATGTTATCCTCCTACTGACATCAATCTTTCTTCATGGCTAATTCATCAATCTATTAGTCCTCATATTATTGCTATAGGTCTTCAAGAATTACCATTCAGTTTTTTGTTTCTTAGAAACAAATCTGAATATCAATGGATAAAATTAATTGAAAAAACTTTACCTAATTATAAATTACTTTCTCGTATACGATTAAATGGTACAATATATTTTTGTTACCTTTTTAATGTCCTTATTATTTATCACTTATATTTTAAGGAATAATTCTTGTCATTTATATTCAATCATCATATTTCGATCAATGCTCAGCAATTGCTACTGCTCAAGTGCGAACAGTTAGGTTTTATTGATTTCTATTTTAAAAAGCAAAATTATTTTTCTATTACCCAAAGGGTTTTATGAATTTATATGGAAATAAAGGTGCCGTTGGTGTTCGATTTGAATTTAATCAAACATCTTTATGTTTTATAAATTGTCATTTATCAGCCGGTGAAAGTTCTAATGCATTTCTTTTACGAAATAAACAATATTCATTAATTCATCAATCTATGTTATTTAAATCTCAATGTAATCAATATCAATGGTGGAATATAAATGATCATAATGGAATATTTTTGTTTGGTGATTTAAATTATCGTCAAACAAAAACAAATCAAGATGAATTAAAAGAAAAAACAAATATATTAAAAACATATTCGGAATCAGATATTAAATTTCCACCAACATATAAATATAAACTGAATTCAAATTCATATAATATCTTACGACGTTCATCATGGACAGATAGAATATTATATCGAACTAACCAATGTCATGTAGAATCAATTAATTATTGGACAACATCGATGATTAAATTTAGTGATCATCGACCTATTGCTAATTTATTTTTATTATTACGTTTAATTCGTTGATAAAATAGTTCAAACATATATATTTCGTTTTATTTTCTATTATAGATGGCTTTGTTAAATCGTTTGTGGACATATTTTAGTGGCGATACAAAACAATTACAAAAACAAGTAGATGCATTTAAAATTGGAATACTCGGTGCAGCTAATATTTGTAATATGGCCTTAATTAATCCAGGAAGTAAATTATCGAATATTTTAATCTATGGTATTGCTGCTAGAAATCGACAAAAAGCTGAAGCATTTGCAAGAAAACATCATATACCAAAAGTAAAAATTTGAATGATTATGAGTGTACCAGAATCAATATCTCTTTAAATATTTCATCAAAGTTCATCGACATGCCTTAATTGTTCTTGTGAAAAGATTCACCATTCAATTGTCTACAAGAACTTATTACAAGTTTTCCTACTAAAAATGTTAAGCAAATAACTTAGATAGTGCGAAACTATAATATGGTCAACTTTCATATATTCATTGAAGTTTTAAACTAACGAAATAAATAATGAATAAAAATCTTGTAGTACTTAAAAAGCTCTATCTTATAATTAAGACAGTAAAATTTTTCTATTAATATTTACCATGTGTAAATATGATTATTTTTTTGTATCAAACTGTAGAAAAGTGAGTGATTTGGAGAGACTCAGAATAATTTGCATTAATCAACGAAAAAAGAAATGATTCAATTTTATTTCAGTTTCAAGAGAGATGATGGGTGCATTAGGCTCAAATGGCAGAATTTGAATAGAGACTCTTCATTCAGGTATACTGTCCAACATAAGTCAAGTTTTGTGTGTTTTTGGCTCAGTTTTAATGAGGTAACATTTGCATCAATAAAAAATAATTTAATTGAAACGACCTTCAGTGTACATCGTGAAAAGAACGCACTTACAAGGAAACTACCCGAACTGATACTCACAATTTGAACTCATATTCGATTGATAAGGAGTTCTCGATAAGAATGGCAAAATCATAGAAGGATTCATGTCGATGGATCTCTAAAGCCGAGTTATGACTGTTTGACTGAATTTTTAATCCAGCTGTAGGTATTTAACGAAAAATAAAATAATGAAATTTTGATATCAAATTTTGCCCGAAAACAGGTTTGCTGATCTGTTGAATATCTAGAATCTATGAGCAAAATTTTATGCCAAAATTCCATTATTTGATTTTTCGTTAAATATCTGAAGCTAGATCGAAAATTCAGTGCAACAGTCAGTCATAACTCGGTTCCAGTGGGCCACGGAGACGAAGTCTTTCAGAGTTTGTCTACTCTTATCGAGACCTCCTTGTAAACTTCAACGGTGAATATCAGATCGATTAGTTCCGTAGTTAGTGAAAAAATGTTGTATTGCTTTGAAAAGAAAGGAATCTTTGAAAAGTGAGCATGCTATAGCCGAGCTGTATTATTTATCTAGTATTTCTGCTTAAGATTTTGCAGTAAAACTTGTGATACGTTGTTATCATGAATCTTTTTTTTTTTTTTTTTTTTGAAGAAAAAAGGTTAAGACATGGTCATGAAATACTAAGAGAGATATTTATTCTGACACATCTGTTCGAGGATTTTCTACTTAAAAAAGCGTCTTTGATTTTTAGGTTTATGATAATTACGATGAATTATTAGCTGATCCAGATATAACTATGATTTATAATCCACTACCAAATGGTCTTCATCATCAATGGACAATGAAAGCTTTACGCGCCGGTAAACATGTACTTTGTGAAAAACCATTATCGAATAATGCTGATGAAGCACGTGAAATGGTTGAAGAAGCTAAAAGACAAAATCGTTTACTTGTCGAAGCATTTCATTATAGATATCATCCATTTTGTAATGAAACATTAAAAAATATTATTTCGAATAAAGATCAAATTGGTTCTATTCAAAATATCACGGGTGTTTTTACTGTACCATCTTCATTGTTTAAAAATGATGATATTCGATTTCAATATTCCATTGGTGGTGGAACTCAAATGGATCTTGGTTGTTATTTAGTATCAATGTGTCGTTTTATTGTTAATACCTACAATAATCGTAATGATAATGATGATGAAGGTTCATTTGAAGTTCAAAAAGCTGAACCTTTACGAATATCTTCAACAAATCCTCAAATTGATTATGGTATGAGAAGTGATTTATTATTAGATGGTATAAAATGTAATATGTATTGTGAATTTACAAATAATTGGTCATTTTATAAACAACAAATCATAATCGAATGTGAACATGCAATAATAACAGTTAATAATCTTATTGCACCTGTTTTTTATCATTATTTAACTGTACAGGAACGAAAAAATAATCAAATACGTACAATAAAAAATTATAGTGATAATCAATCAACATATTATTATCAATTAAAAGCATTTATAGAAGCTGTTAAAATTGTTCAAGATGAAGGTTCAATGGATAAAGCATATGAAATAGCATTTACAACTGGCAAAGGTGCTATTCGTAATATGGAAATAATTGATGAAATTTATCGTAAAGCTGGACTTACTGTACGAGGAACAACAATTGAATGACATAATGATTTATTTGATAATCGAAGATTTTCTTTATACTGATCTATAGAAAATTTTTTTATTGTGCTTTAATATGAAAAAAAAAATGATTTTTTTTATACTAAGAATATTTTGTTCTGGAATCCAATTAATGTTTTCCATATCTTGATTATTAATCGTTGATCTTTTTTTATGATCACTAAATTTGATTGTTGAAATTTCATTTTCATTGGATTTATTTGTTTGAAGATATTTTATATATGAATTACGTATGAAAGATTCATCTGGAAATATATCAAGAAAATCTTGACGAAGTTTTTCAAATATCATTGGTGCAAAAGAACCAAGTTCTTTAAAACGTTTTTTTGGAACTTAGACAAGAAAAAAAAGAGAACAATGAAATTATTTCATAATAATAAAAGTAATGAATATTACTTGAAATAATATCGACTGTACTACGAGTAAGATACCATGAATGAATTGTTGTTGTTTCAAATCCAAAATAATGTCCATTTGAAAGAACAAATATTTCAAGAAAACGCCATGTAGTTTTTAGTTTTGAATTACTTTCATTTGTCTAAGAAAACAAAACATCAATGATTGAAAATTAAGATATTTTATACAGTTTGTTGAGTGACTTGTTCATTTATTACAGTATTAATGTTTCGTTGAGAATTTGAATTATATTCTAAATTTGAATTCGATGTAATTACTGGAAGATTTAAACCTGTTAATACAGAACGATTATTAATATTCATTGAACCATTTAATGAATTTGACATTGAATTGTTATCGTTACTAGAATGATTTTGAACTAAAATATAAAACTAATCAGATTAGAGACAGTTCTTTTTACATTTAAATGAATTTTAATATAGTATACTAAAAATCGTACAAGTATTATGTTATGTAATTGCTATGCATATTAACCTCTGTGCGATCTAGAATAGATTTTTGAAAATAGAAAATCAAATATATTCATGATGAGATAATTTGTGATGAAAAATCATTTAATATAATCTTATTTTCGAACTTGAACAAAATTTCTGATGCTCCTCAATGGAGATTCAAGATAAAGACTTGAATCCAATATGAAAAAATCGTCATTGCCGACAAGGGAATCTTTTCAGTTGTCTCCTTCCAATTTCAATGATTCTTTTTGTTTATAGCTACTGCAGTGCTCTAATAAAAAGACTACAAGGATTTGACTTCTTATTGATAAACTCTATAGCTTACACAAATCTTAATAAGAATGCGAACTATTTTAGGACTTTTATTAAACCATTCGGTATTATCTATAGGCAAAAAATCCTTGAAATTGGAAAGACCAGCTGAGGGAAACTCTCTTGCGAGTAATTGCATTAATCGACATGTATCCGTAAGACACTGTATGCAAACCTCAGCACCACCAACCATGGAATGTCCCTGGACAAGACATGAATAGCTGTTTGTCTAGAGCCATCCGTCCGACAACATGTTGACTATTTCGTGGCATACATCTGGTCTTAAAGCTAACTTTGACTGTATGAAAAGCTCGAGCAATTGAGAGCAAAAACTCTGATTCAGGCTAGCCTTCTGCCCAGAGTTACAGCTAGTCACAGTTGTCGGGAAGATATCGAACTATTGAATCTACAGCTAGGCAGTACTTCACATCGAAAGGCGACAGAAATATTCTTCCTTCTTCCTTTTCGTATGTGAAAGCTGTCGATCTTCAAAATTATTTTTAGTTTACAACTCGATAGTTATTGCAATATTTGCCATTAAAATTCAGCTGGCACATCTCAATACTAAATATTAAAGTTGTTAGTGAATCTCAAACTACAATGAAAACTATATTATATATGAATAAGCGGTGTTATTGATAGTAAGACTAATAAATCAAACGAACAATACCTGCTATATTTATCTGTTTAATTTTTGCTTTATTGATCTTTTTTTTACTCAATTTCTGATAAAATTGACTGTATTCTGGATGTTTAATTATAATGAATGGAAAATCAAGTAAGCGTACAAAAGAAATTTGACCATGTAAAATAAAATATAAATTCTCATGTTCGTGTTCTTCATTTCCATAAATAATTTCATCAATGGAATATTGTTTATAATTAGACCATTTTAACTACTAACAAAATTTATATGAATTTATCAAAACCAAAAAAAAATTAAATAAACATAATAATAATAAACATACAATATAATCTAAAATATCATTTCGCCATTGAATACTACTAAATATTGATTGTACTCGAAATTGTTCAAGTAATGATTTTTTCATAATATCAGATAAATAATTTTCATAGGCCTTTTTATTATATTAAAAATGAATAAATTAAGAAAATATTCATTTATAATTTACTCTAATATCTCTTGAAAAAAATCCTATTAAATTACAATAATTCGTTTCACTTGTTATTAAACCATTTAAATGATAATAATTTATTAATTCAAGAGAATCATCTCCATATATATCACCAATATTTAATCGATGGCCAAATATTGTTGTTTGATTTGTTTCGAGTAATAAAATACATTGACATGTAGTAATAAAAAAATTCTTAGTTTTTTAAAAGAATAAAAAATAAATATTTAAATTACCATAAACAACTATATAAACGAGAAACGAAAGAAAATTTTGTCGAGTAACAATTGTACTTGGATGATAAGTAAAAAGTAAAAGTGAACGAGCTAAAATTTACCATGAATTAGTAATACGAACAAAAAAAAATCATCAATGTTAGATTAAACAACCAGCATAATGACGAACATTCGTTGGCAAATGACGAAGAGTTTCACAACGATTCAATAGATGTTCTAGAACTTCAATATCATGTGTAGTACGTTGGCGTGGTGTCTTAAATACAAAAAAAAAAGAAAATTTTGTAAAACACGATCTACAAGGACTGTCGAAGTACAGGAATAACAATTTGAACATTCCCTCTATAGACCGTGACAGACACCTTGCCAACACTCTGCCTTCACTGTGTCACAGACCGTTAGAGAGCTGCAGAACACATCATTTTTGACAGCCTCTAATCTGCTCTGGTAGTATCTGAGTGACGCTACAATGTAGCTGAGCTTGTAGAAACTTCTAATGAGAGATTATTTCTAACGATTATCTGCGACTTATGTAATCTTACATATTTTATTCATAGAAGAATCAAAGAAAATTATGAAAATATTAAAGAATACTTGTTCCATCATCCTAACAATGTATCATACTTTGAAAATGAAAGTTTGGCGTTAATTTTAATGATCGATTTTATCAGAATTATAATTACAATCATCTCCCACATTTCTTCCAAATTCTCACGTAAAATCATTTTACATGACTAAATCGTTTTTCTTTTTTCTTTTTTTTTGGTACTTTATTGGGATTTGTAAACTTTGTTGTAGACATTACAGATGATTGTCCTTATTGAATACTAATTTGTTTCAATTTTTTGCGAAGAATAAGACAAAACGCAAAATAAGAATACTAAATGTACATTTGAGTAGCAATATATGGAAAGAATAGATTAGCGGCACATCTATTTTTGTTGACTACTTTGCGGCTAACCTAATTTGGTTATCAAATTACTTTCACTTCTATCTTTTTTCTTACTGTATAACTTTAGAAAAGGTTACGACAACATATAATGTCCAAAAATAGTCGTAAGTTAATAGGTTACGATACTCGTATCCTAAAAGACTTTATAGAACGTATATTAATAACGCCTCATTACAAGATATGACTTTCTTCCTTATTGAATTTCTGAAGGAATATAATAAAAGAATAGTGAAGATATGTGTCTCAAAGTAGATAGACTACAACAATTCATCTGTAATTAGCAACATCGTGTTTCACACAATGATCTCGAAGGGATCTCACTTAAGAGCTTTTTCTTTATAATATCAAAGGAAAAAATTTCTTTTTTCGATTATTAACCTTATTAATTGCTGATAATGTTGTTTTTGTCATTAAACCACCGATTTGACGAGAAACTCGATTTGGTTGAATAAAATGAGTAGTAGATTTTACTGTTGGTAAATTATTTAATTCCGTTGATTGTGAAATTGTTAAATTTATTTTTGATAGATCTGATTTTGTTTCAATTTGACTACTAACTGTAGATAAATTATCAATGGAAGTTTTATCTTCTATATTCACTTTTGACTCATTATTATCGAATATAATTGTTGAAGGAAATCCTTTGATTTAAAAAAAAAATAATTAAAAGAAGGAAAATTTTTTTTTGTTTTTATTTATACGATTATTATGCGAATGAAAATGTTTTATTGTATTATAAAATTGAAAAAGTACTCGACCAATTAATGGATTATCATGAATACATCGTTTTATGTGTTCAACATAATGAACAATAGAATAAATTTTTATATGTTGTTGTTCTTTTGTTATTTCATGTTCACGAATACTTTGTCGAATTCGTTCAATTAAACGATTAAAATTTGGTGTTTTATTATATACATGTGATTCGTTATTAGCTATAAAACTCATATTTATTATTCTTGCCGCGTTTTTGAAATAAAAAACTTCGAATTAGTCTAAAAATATTCATTTTTGTACAATTATTTTAATCATAAACGGAAAAATCTTTTGTTGAAGTTATTCGCCAAGAGTATTCAGATAAAAATCGTATTATTAGCCTCTTCCCTCCTGTCTGGTTACGGCTGACTCTCAATATCTCCTTGGATATCCAATCTCCGAAACTTTAGTAGAAAAGCTATGTGCCTGACCCTCTCCTCCTGCTTTAACTCGGCATCCTTTATGAGTGACCGTATAAAGATTTATCAGTGAATATATATAAAACCATCTTTATTGTTGAAGATGAAATTCAAATAGAAGATTTTCGTCTAACAAGGAAACATATCAACTGCTTTATCGGCTTTTCGGCGTATGTCAAGGTATTCACAGAAAAATTTTAAAAAAAGGAATTTTCATCTGAATTTTTGTATATAAATAGGTCACTTAATCCTTAGAATGCTTTAAAAGTTTCTACTAAAGCATAGAATTCCTTCTCGACGTATTTAATACTAAAGAAAAGTTGAACTTATGACTTCTTTGTAGAATTTGATTGTTTCCTTGTTTTTTTTGAATATTCAATAACCCAAGAAGAAACCATCTGTTTTCACTGAAGATTTCAGCATACATGGAAGCTCAAGAATCCTGTTTATGTACAAGAGTTTAGATAAACACTTTTTCTTTTTGATTTCTTTATGAGTACTTTGTCATAAGCCGAAAACCCAATAAAATAGTCATAATTCCGTAAGAAAGGTCTATGAGGAAAAGTCCTTTCAGACTTTATCTATTCTTATTGAGTTCTACTTATGAACAAAAAATATCACTTCGGGTGGCGATTAATAGGTGAAATATGTTGCCTCGTAAGTACTAACAAGGTGATTAATTCGAGTTTTTGAAAGAATTATCGTTGCATAAATTTAATAATTGAAAATTAGATTAATAGACACAGCATTTCCACAGCTCAAGAAATTAGAGAGAGAGAGACTTGTAAACAAGATTTTATATTTATTTCTTAAAAACATTCATTTTTGTTTTAGTAACTTTATCAATAGTCTGTTTATAGTTCTTCCATTATTTTTTTTCTTAATCTGCAATTTTGCGTGCACATTAAATAAAGACTACCAGTGACGTCATCAGTATATGAGTATTAAACGATTAGTACTAAAATTACCAGTAATTAATTGTAAGACGGCCAATTTCTTAAATAAAAGTGACAGTAAAATGATTCAGTTTATTATCCGCAGAAAAATAAACTTCACTAGTAGAAGAAAAATTTAAATAAATCAAAGAACCATAAAATAAATAAGAAGAAATTTAAAGAATAGTTTTAAAAAAAAGACAGAGAAAATTGAATTATTGTATTAGTAAAGTAGATTTAGCTTTTGGTAATCTACCTCTATTTCTTTTTTCATCGACAGGCACTGGTTTTATCGGATATCGGTGGTCTACAATATTTCAAATCAATAGTCGTACCCACACTCACTCTTTTTGCATACCAATTCGAAGATTAGTAAAAATAAATTGAAAATCTTTTCTTTTTATCATTTGTACACATTGCTCAACCAAACGGATAAAACGCATTATCCAAATCAGCTATTCCAATAACTAGTACTGGAAAATCTTGCCGTACTAACCATGTTTTCGTTTGCGATCGAATTGTGACACAGTTACGCCGTAACTGCTTCTTTTTTACCGTAGCTATGCGCAGCTGCGATTCTTCTATCATAATTGCGAAAAATGATGATGCAATTACGATGTTTTTTCTATCGTCACTACGTCGTAAATTTTCGCAATCAAGGGTCACAGTGTGATTGTCACCATGGTGTAACTGCGTCGCAGTTGCTAAAGATAGAGATGGCATGAGTAATTTATCAATAGTATCAGCATGTATGTTTTGTAACATAGACAACATATTGAGCAAACAAACATATGATATAAAGATACGAAACTTGCTTGCACCATCATATTCTACATCTTCATCATCATCATATGATATACTGTACGGTACAATAAAAGATTCATTTTCATCAATTGGAATATTCCGAGTATTTTCACACCATTGTTCTGATTCATCTAAATTTATTTTACATCAATCAAATTTCTTTTTCCTATAAATAGACAAGATAAATGTTTAGTCGTGCTAAAGTTGGCACTTTTATTTTTCTTGATTGAAGTGCTTGAAGAATTAGTTTTGGTTTCTTTATACTATTATTAAATAAGTCTTCTATGTACTTTTTAACATTTTCATCAATGTCATGAATTGCATCATTATAATATATGTGTTCGGTTTTCGTTTCCTAAACGGTTGCTTTATCACGATCTGCATGACATTGAGGACCACAGCGTTTGGTTTTCTTACATCTGTAATAAACTTTTTCTCGCATCTTCTGTATAGTTTGTGTAATATTCTAACCATTGATTTTCAAATGACGCTTCGACTTTGCCAGCATTATCAAATGCATATTTTTTAACCCAACATCTTGATTTCTTTTGTTCAAAGGTTCCTTTATTTCCATTTATTTCATGATCTTTTTCCCACCACTTCTTCATCTGATGTATCACGTTCATATTGAGAAACTTATACTACTTTCATAGTTACAAATACGCAGTTTTTATTCGAAAAAGACTAAGTATTTCTAAATTGGGATAGATAAAGATAATGATCAAGGAAGAAGTCGAGAAGTTTCTTTCCCTTTTATTTTAGATAATGAACAGTAAAAAGAACTAAAAGAATGATTCTTCTTATACAAAAAAAATATAGGTCAAAAAAAGTAGGTCAAAAGAATAAAAACATATATAAAACATCTGAAGTGAAAGAAAAAGAAGAACTAAAGTAATTCGCTTGATAATCATTTTCTTTTTTGCTGAGCCTTTAATATAAGTGACTGTTAATCTACTGTATTTCCTGATTTTTAAATCTGTTTACAAACCTAATCAATTAATAACTGATCGTTCAAGTAATTGACTGATTTTATAATTACTTTATTTTCTGATCTTTTCATTTATTTTACTGATCATAAATCATATTCTCCTAAATAAATATAAACATAATGATTCACATTTATTTATGACGGAAGAAGAAAATAAAATTTTTCTATTGATGACTAATATTTCTACTTTACTTTATTATATTTACTTTGATTCAAACCATATGTGACCCCTTTTATATCCCTGGTAAAGTTCTTTATGTGTGCCTTTCTGATTCTTTTCAAAGGCGACATCATAGAATATTTTTAAGGTCGCCACTAACGTCAGTAGTGGAAATAGTATAGTAGCGCAATTCTTTTCTTACATTCCTTAGCGGTGACGAAGATAATATTGCAATCAAATTATTTCTTTGCTTATTTTCCTTTTTTTTTTTGCGTTCGTTTATATCGAGGGGTTTACTATTTATCGCATGAAATGCATTTTACCATTCGACAGGATCGTATTTGTTTGCAATACATCTTTTAGTTTGCAACTATATAAATATCTAATGTTTTTTTTCGCTTGATAGATATCTATTTCAAATGACATCAACAAATTCTGTATCAGCTACAGCATTAGCTGAACAAAATGCTGAAGATACTTATGAACAATATGAAAAATATTTACATGCTGGAAGGTAAATTTATTTCTTTAAAAAAACAAAACCAAAAATTGATTTCTTTTTTCTTTTTACTGCATTGATAGTGGTGGTAAACAACGCAGTAAAATAGAAGTGGAATTAAATTCTCAACGTCATGATGCTGGTGGCGATACAAGAAAGATTGTTACCGCAATGGCTAATAATGAAAAAAACCGACTACATGGGCATAAATGAATGATGTAAAATTTTATCTATATCTGTCATTTTATCTAATCATTTACATTTATCTTCGGGACTTTATGACAGATACTATTATTATTATTCTTTTTTTCTCCTATTCTTTTATGATTTTCGTTTAAATATATATAATATATATTCACACCAAAGGAAAAAAGAAACTTCGAAATGTTGTTTTGTATTTTTGCTATCTATGTTCTATTTCTATCAAATATTTGTTCATATGAATTTCCATTTTCAACATTGGATAATTCAATAGTTGATGCTAATGGTACAATTGTTCGATTAAAATGTGTTAATTGGCCAGGAAGTATGGAAACATTGCTGCCAGAAGGTCTACAACATAATTCAATAGATAATATTGTATTACTTATAAAACAAATGAATATGACTTGTGTACGTTTAACATATTCAATTGACGTAACACATTCATCTAGTTTAACTGTTTATCAATCATTTTTAAGACTTAATTTGACACTAGCTTTAGAAGGTTTTATAGCAAATAATCCATTACTTATTAATGAAAGTATTTCAAATGTATTTGATTCTGTTTTAAATACACTTGGAAAATATAATCTTTTAGTTTTACTTGATAATCATGTTAGTAAAGCTATGTGGTGTTGTAATGAATTTGATGGAAATGGTTTTTGGGGTGACCGATATTTCGATGTTGAACAATGGATTGTTGGTTTGATATTTATGGCTAAAAAAAGTATTAATCGTCCGTATGTTATTGCAATGAGTTTGAGAAATGAATTACGTGGTGTAAGACAAAATCTACCAGATTGGTATCATTATGTCTTACGAGGTATTGGCGAAGCAATATCATCAGTTAATACTCAACTTTTAATAGTTATTTCTGGTTTAAATTATGATCTTGATCTATCATTCATTCGATTATTGCCAATACAAAGTCTTGTGCCACACTCAATACAAAACAAAATAGTCTATGAAGCTCATTGGTATTCATGGTCAAGCTATGGTCATTCAACTGAATGTAATAAAATGAAAGCAGGTATTCAAGATGCATGGGGATTTATTTTGGAATCTAATCATTCCTATACAGCTCCTGTTTGGTTAACAGAATTTGGTACAAATGTTGATCAATTTACAGGTGACGATATATTTATTGATTGTGTTAAAGGCTTTTTTCAAACACCATTAACTAAGACAATGTCTTGGTCTTATTGGGTATTAGCTGGTAGTTACTGTATTCGATCTGGTACAATTGAATCACATGAATCATTTGGTTTGTTAACAGATAATTGGAAAGAAATAAAATCAAAGTCATTTATCAATGTTCTTTCAACAATGTAAACATACAAATAAAATTTATAAATGAATGTTTACAAATATTTAAGAAAAAAAGGAAGAATATCAAATTTGTATTTCTCTCGTTTTTGCTTGTTTTGTCTGTTACATTGTTGGCATTGACATTTGAACATCCATTGGTGTTGCATCTTCTTGTCGCCATGATGAAGTTACTGTTTTTAATTGTGTATAAAAATTCATACCCTACAAAAAACAAGAAAATTCATAACAAAAATAAAAAACAAATATTTTTTTTTCGTACATTTCGTCCATAGAAATTCGTATCACCACGGAATGAACCACGTGAGCCGGTAAATGAAAACATTGGAAGTGGTACTGGAATTGGAACATTAACGCCGATCTAGAACAAATTCTTTCTAATTTTTATATCAACAAATTAGAAAAAAAATTCTCTTTACTTGTCCAACATCAATTTCTTGTGTAAATTTTCTAGCTGTAGCTCCATTTGTTGTAAATATAGCTGTACCATTGCCATATGGATTTTCATTAATTACTCTTATAGCATCATCTAATGTATCAACACTCATTGAAACAAGTACAGGACCAAAAATTTCTTCTTTATAACATTCCATATTTGGCTAAGAGAAAAAAACAAAAAATATTTATATAAGTTTTTCGATTAAAAAGAAATTCTTTTTTTTTTTTTAATTAAATTTACTTTAACATCATGTAAAATAGTTGGTCCAACAAAATTACCATTTTCATAACCGGGTACTTTAAGATTTCGTCCATCTAAAATTAATTTTGCACCTTCATTAACACCAGATTCAACTAATTCAAGAATACGCTCTTTAGCTTTTTTCGATATAACTGGTCCTAAATCAGCTCCTGGTTCATAACCAGCAGTAACATGTAATTTTTTAGATTTTGCAATTAAATCTGGAATCCATTCACGTGCTTTACCAACAAATATTGCTGTTGATAATGCCATACATCGTTGACCAGCTGCACCAAATGCTGCACCAACAAGCTAAATATAAGAGTAACATTAAAAACACACAAATTATCGCGTTCATAACATACTTGATTTAATGCTTGTTCTTTATTAGCATCAGGCATAATAACACCATGATTTTTAGCTCCCTGATATTACAAATAAAAAAGTTTATATTAAAAAAAAATGAATTTTATCATATTTACCATATTACATTGTACACGTTTACCATTTTTTGAACCACGTTCATATATGTAATTACCCTAAATCATAATTTTATAAATAAATTTTACTTTAAAAACAATGTAATTCTTACAGCTCTATCAGAACCAACAAATGATATAGCACGAATATCAGGATGATCACAAATAAATGTAACAGCTTAAAAATTATATATATATATATATACAAACAATAAAATAAATACTTTTTTCTTGTTCTTACCTTCATGTTGACCATGAATACAATTAACAACACCATCAGGTAAACCAGCTTCTTTAGCCAATTCAACAAGCATCATACATGCTCCAGGATCTTGTTCAGACTAATAATTAATTATGAAAATTTAATTATTATTTCATTTTAATTTCACTTACTGGTTTCATAAGCATTGTATTTCCACAAACAGCTGCTACCGGAAACATCTATCAAAAACAAAAAACAAAAATTAATCATAATTTTTATTTTCGTTTTCTATGAATACCCAAAGTGGAATCATTGCCGGAAAATTAAATGGTGCAATGCTAAAATATATAGAATTTTTATAAATTTTTTTTTTAAATAAAACATTTGTAACTAACCCTGCAGTAACACCTAATGGTACTCGATAACTATGAATATCCATATCTTTTGCAATACTATGCATTGTTTCACCAGTTTGTAAAAATGTGACCGAGCAACATGATTCAACCACTTGTAAACCACGTAAACATGAACCTTCAGCATCTGTTAATGTTTTACCTTGTTCTTTTGATATAATTGCTGCAACATTTTTCTAAATATTTATTTTAATTAATTCAATATATTATTTTTTTTATCATAAAATAAGAAAATTAAACATACTAGATTCTTTCTTAAGAGATCTTGATAACGAAACATGACTTGTTGACGTTGTAATATAGTCGTTTTTGACCATGTACGAAATGCCTCTTTACAACTTTCAACCGCTTCGTTCATTTCAGCTTGAGTACTTTTTGGTACTAAACTAATAACTTCATTTGTTGCCTAAAAGAAACTAAATGAAATGTATTATCGTTATCAATAACTACATACAGGATTAGTAAGTTCGATCCAATCTTTAGTTTTTGATTCGACAGCTCGTCCATTAATCCAATTTTTAACAGTTGGCTATTTAAAATCATAAAGAAAAATTTTCTATTCAATTGAATTAAAATTAACTTACAGGTTTTGATGAGGCACTAGCACATCGAATCAAATTCGACGTCTGGATTAATTTAAAAAAAAAAGATTGAATAATATAACATAGATAAAATTAAACTTACAGTAAGATTTTTTGCACCTGTTGATTGAAATAATGAACCACATCGAGAGCTGAAATTAATCATTTTTGCTGAATATGTTGTGAATATATCGAGATCTAACAAACAAAAACCAACAAACAACGTAGTGACGCCTATATATTATATCGATATGTTAACCTTGAAAAAGGAATAGTTAAAAGTGCAAAAGATAAAAAAAAGTTGATGCTATATAAACAATAATACGCAAAAGAAAACGAACGAGATCGAGTCTACAACACACCCACTACTCCAGGTTAAGATAAGAATTCACCAATAAATATTGATGAGAATCCAGTACCACATGACGAGTCCGTGCATACAACAAACGTACAAATCTTATTGCTCGAAACAAAACTACCAAGCAGAAAATTGCAAGAACAAAAATCATCATTGTAGAGGACAAAAATATCGACATGACGGTCTTTCATAATGAAATTCGATACGAATATATCACTGAATCAAAATCCCTACCGCTTTCAAAAGTCATATAATGAAAGAACAAAATCATATCAATTATTTAGTGACGGTAAAACTGTCGAAACTTTTTAAAAATTTCAAATGGTAAGCTTAGAAAAGAAGCTTAGTCTCATAATAAAAATTTTATCTAAGACGTATTATAATATCATTGATTCATTACTATCACCTATTGCGATCCCTTGTATAGATATATCTTCACTTTTCAAGATGGTACATTCATCTCTTCAGCTTTTAAAAAAGTTCTCTTGGACTTCCTCTCCCTCTTTTTCTGTTTTCTTCGCCAAATCCTTACATAAGATTGATATCAATCAATAGTATTAAATTTTGAAACTATGACAACCGTTTAGACTTATCACATATGTTTCAACGATTCAGACACGATTGATTTTCGTATTGTAATATATCATATTGATAAGCGATGTTGAAAAATAAAAAAAATTGTTTGAATGAATCTTGTACGATTCAAGGATACTTCTTCTTAATAGTAACATTGTTCGTTTTCCCATTGTCTAATTTCAAAGATATTCTTTAACAATCTAATATCTCTATTTATTTCTAAGTTATATTGTTCTCTGCTATCTAATCTATATTCATTATTTCTCTGCATATGATGTTTGTGATGAATGTTATAATCAAAGAGAAGTTTTCTTACTCTTATACAAACATTTTATGTTTGATGATCTACTAAACAAATAATTGATGTTCAATATGTAACAACTGGTTGAATATCAAACACTTGTTTATACCATATGAAAAAGATAAGAAAGTTTAAAAAAAAACGATGTTTTCTTATCATTCATTTGCTTGTTAAATATGAGCACCAATGAGTATGAATTATAATCGATGTGTTACGACCAGTGCTGGATGAATTAACGATCGTTAACAAACAAACGAAATACCGACTTGAATCAATGGTTAAAATTTGAAAACATATTTTTAAGAATCTTAAACCAATTACAACTTATTGTACCCAACAAAAGCATTAATGGTATCCCCCCCCCCCCCCCCTTCGGAGAACGATTCATCAGAAAAATTTGAAACTTTTAGGGCACGTAGATCTTGACCAGTCGTACAAAAATCAACAGAACAATATTTTTTGAAACAAAAAGAAATATCCTAACCCAAACAATGTATAGTACATGTGTAATAAAGTTTCAATTCAATTGGACGGACTAAGCCGGAAATACAAAAGCATTTCTGTACTGTTTTTTTTTTCATAAAAAAGTTAGTTTGAGAAAAACGAAAAGCAATCTACGGTGTTCGCTAATTTAATTTCTTCTCGAAGTTTTTAAATTTTAAAGAAAATTTTTGAATTCCAAAATGTACTCAGTAGGTGAATACTGCTTCACGTTATACAATGCTCATAAAAAAACAAAACAAAAATTTTGGTTAACAAAAGGGGATCGACTGAAGCTTTTTTTGTAACTATTGATACTTTATTGAGCACAATAAAAAAAGAAAGACGAATATTTCGAGATCATCATTAAATATTAGAATTGTTTGAGTTTTGAAAGCTTTTTATCAATAAAATTAAATAAATGTTTCATGAAAAATTCCAAACAATGATCAAAAGTACCTATGAAGATTTCTGATTAAGTCTTTTGACAATACTAACTGTTCGACAAGAATTTGACAAATCATGATTGTATTGTTCTTACAAAGCATAAGTTGATTTTATTATACAAAAAATAGAAATGGTAAAATTACGTTTCTGCAAAAGTCAAAATACAACTAAATTTGTCAACAGATAAATGAGGACATGTGCGCTTAATTGAACTAAATATTAAAAATAACCTCACATCTCAAAGAGGAAATAGAAATTTATTTATACAAGCTAAGTAAATTTCTTTTGTTAATTTAATCTTCTTCTTTCCAATGAAGGCATTGATGTCTGTTATGTTGAATTTTTGAAATAAGTCTTAAGATAAAGAAACACATTACCATGATAGCTAAATATAATAAAATCCTTATGCCGAATGCATGATATTGTTCATAAGATTGCATTCATTATATTGAATTTATATTACTAAAATATAAAATGAATTGTAGACAATATGCATGAAAAATATAATTTTATATGAAATATAATTTTATCTTAAAATAGAAACAAAATGGTTTTCTTTTCTCATCTCACAAATGCATTTCATAAAAATTTCATTATGCTGATAAAGAATAAATGTCATAAAGAATTGTAATGGCGTCTTATAAAAGTAGCAGATCCAGTGTTACCAATTATGATGAAGATTATGAAAGCTTCCTCAGGTCAAAAATGTTGAACTTTCTGCAAAACTTTTCACTGTCTTTTGGAAAAGCAGAACAGAAAGGGAATTTTTGTGGTTTGAGTTCTGCTACAGACAAACACTCATGTGAAGACACTTCCTACCTAATTTTTCCCTCCTCTCACTCTAAAAAACAATCAAGAACTCTGATCCAATCTATGATATTGTTAGCTTGTCTATTGTTTTTAATCAGAATCAATGCTTCGATGTAGTTCAGCCCCTTTTTTTTAGAACAAAAAAAAAGAGAATAGATCATGTTTAAATGGAATTAATAATTGTTTGAAATTATGATTATTTTTCTTTTTTAAAGACATTTAATCATTAAAAACGTGCTATTCTTTTAAGTTGAAATATTTCTTCATTAGTAATTAAAAAAAATAAAAAATTCTTTTTTTTTTTGGTCGTATAAATTATAATGGAAAAAGGTAATCAAATTTCATGAATTTTTAATGTAAGGATCATCAAAAATATGTATTAATCAATGCTTATTTTATCGTATTACTACTAATTCAGATTTGATTCATCTAACTTCAATATTTTTTATTATTAAGACAAACTTTGATTAACAAAAGACAATATTTTCTTGTAAATCTATCAATACTCAAATAGCCTATTAATAATTGTTCTATTTTCAAAAATCAGCTATCTCACGCCATCTGTTTGTCTTTCTGATAACTTTAAAATTAAGGGTTATCGTGTACAATAAAACTCATGGTAGTCGATTATTGATTGGCGGAAATGCACTTTTTTGTGTATGTAACATTGGGATAACCTCAATAAAATTCTTTGTGTCAACGATATTGTTTTCTTCTTCTTTTCTTGTTTCTCTATCGTTACTCAACCAATATTAGTTGTCTGGTTATGTAATTTAATAAAAATGCTCGAATGTTCTTTATTTTGATATGAACAAAAACAAAAATTTATTCAACGAGAATTTCATAGATGGATGAAACATATTTTTATTATATATTGGTAAAATAAAAAGATTCCATTGAAAAGAATATATTTTTTTCTCTCTTCTAAGGTTCAGAAACAATATCAAAAAATCATTTTGAATATGATATTAATTCATTTAATCAAACAAATGATTTCTAAAACAAGAGAACATATTTTCCTTTTTTTTTCAATTTAGATAAACAAATTTCAATTGATTTTTAATTCAAATCATACTTTTTTATTTTATCTTAATCATCAAGAATATTTATCAACGAGAAAATTTGAGCAAAATAAAACATATTTATATTTAAATGAAAATTCTCCATTAGATTATAGAAGAAATTGAATATCAACGAAATAATTCATATACATTATCATCGTCAATAATTCCAACAGAATCAAATAATATGAATCATACGTTTAATAATATTATGATTAAAATATTTAATAAAATATTTCAAGAACAAATAAAAATATCAATAAACAAGAAAAGGTTTGAAGATTTATAAAAACAAAGATTTTTTATTATTAATGGCATTGAGCCGTAATAGGTCATTTTGGTTGACATGAATAATATAAAACAAATCATTATTTTTCTAGTGTTTCATTAGTTAAACCCTATGAAGATTCAAGAAAGTCTAAAAGAATTCATGTCTATGAATTTTTTTTTCTTGAGTAATGATTATTTCGTTGTGTTTTTTTAACACGATGACCTGATTTTTCTTCCGCCCAAGTCCAAACATTGCATGAAGGCAAAAAAACGGTCTTATACTCATTCGTCCTTCTAAATAAAATGTATTGCATTAAATTAGTACGGAATACCTATTCTTATCCTTGGAAGATAAAGCAAAAAGCTAATTTGTTCTACTCTCGATCTTATGTTAAAGAATACCCATTTATGTTCGATAATTATGCTGTAACAATGTTGTACACATGTTCGGAAGTACTCGTACTAGAGAAAGTCTGTATTTACTCAGCTCAGTTACAATATTAGTATTATGCCAAAAGTAAAGAATGGCTTGTTAATTGAAATTTATGATATTTTTCCTTTTGATCTTTCTACAGCACATTGTCTGAAGAGTTTTGTGGTATTCTGTTGAAAAACTGACTAACACATAACCGTAATGCAAGAAGTTAAGTTCATGACTTTAAATGATAATGAACTTTCTCTAATCTCCATAGGGTTTACTTAATGAAGTTAGATTCCTATTAAAAGCAGTTTGTCATCTTGTGAAATCTTCGCGTTAATCTAGAAATGTTAAAATTGCGTGTCAGTTGTGTTTCCATATGATCCATAAATAAAAGACAGATTTTGGTTGTTTAGTATAAAGATAAATAAAACTCGAAGAATTTTTGTCATTAACAGCTTTGTATGACATTAAAATAAACATGCAGGTTATATCAAGTCCTACGATACTTTCAAACAAACTACAAGATGAATTTGATGACGTACGCTATCATTACTTTCGATAATGGTGTCCAATGGGTTACTTTCTCTTTCTGATCGTACCTATTGTACTTTGAATATATGTTTAAGTAGTGGTCACAATAAAATGAAAGAGATACACCAATAATTGAGGTCAACACTGAACAAGATATTATACAGAGGAAGAGAAAATATGAGAAGTGAACCGTAACGATCAGTGACCGTTATAAACAAATCCTGGGAGCTATTTTGAAAAGTAATCTAGTGTTGATAAGAAGGAATTCGATCAATCTATATCATGAGTGAATCAATGGCTGCTGCACACTCATGCGTAAGATTATACGTTTGGATAGTTCTAATTTTTGATATTTTTAGAGGTCCGAATTTTTTTTTTTTATTATTTAAGTTTATCCTCGTAATGGAAATAGGCATATATTTTGTATTCAACTTAAATGTCTTTATCGAAAGAAGATAAAAATATGCTTTCTTTATTTATCTAGCATAGCAAACAAATGAATTGGTCATTATCAATTCATACTCATAGTTGACGATCAAAATAAATAATTCATAGTAGTAAAATAATTATTGATATTGATGATGAACAAATTCGTCCAAAACAAGGTCAATGTCGCCGTTAGAAAACTAGACAATTAGAAAAAGTCGTAGCAGCTATTCTAAAGAATGGATTGTCAGTGCATAAAACTGGATCTTATTTTCATGTACCACATTCAATAGTAAGTTAAAATTCTATAAAATTAAAAAGAAGAAAAAGAAAACATTTTATTCGATTTAGTTGAAATATAAGGTAAAAGAATGAAATTTTAACAAACACAGCAAAAACTAAAAATGAATCATCAGCTTTTATTTTATCGCTATTAATTAATGATGGTAATATTTCACAAAGGAAATCAATAGAATCTGGTATGTTTACGTTGATTTCTATCTTTTTAATCAAAACTTTATATTACTCATTGACGGAATAACTTTGATAGTTAATTACATGGGCGAAAAAGAAATATCAATATATTGTACTTTTCTCTCTCTCTATAGTTATAGTAGAAATTCGTTTTCATAGCCCAGATTTCTTGCCTTTTATTCAAATCATATTTTCGTGGTTATTGCTCAGCTAACTTGTTTCGTATATATATATATGTTAGTCGCTAGTCAGAGATCCAACATTCAACGAACATGGTTTAAAGATGTATTCCATTACTATAGTTTATATAAATATCCGAAATTTTGTATGTGCGGAGCATTCTATGCTACTTACAAATAGAAACAGTTCCATTTCATATCCTATAGATTGTGCTCTGTGCAGTCATAGACTTCAATTTCTTTACTTTCAAGTTTAAACCCGTTTCATGTATGAATGACCATGCTAGCAGAGTATATTTTCACTTTCCTCAGCATAGTTAGATATTTGAAAGTGTCAGCAGTTTTAAACAGAAATACGATTTTGAATTATTACGAACAAGAAGGACATTAGCATCGACTATGTTAAGTATTTTTACATGATGGTAATGATAATGATAAATTATCTTTTGGTTCTTGATCATATAAGTAGTGAAACTATGCATACCTATAATATTAATATTGAAAATAAATCCGATGATGAAAAACTTCAATTATTTATTTTATTTGAATTTGAAATGAATTAATTTTCAATTTTTTTTAGTCATTTTATTAACAAATGTTCTATTATTTGTTTAAAAACTTGCACAAAGTAATTTTTTATTACATGTATTTTACTAGTTAATATAAGAAAAAAAACAGATCTGAGTTTATTAAAACATTCCTTGAAGAACAAATGAATCTTTTTTTATTTTAATATAATCTTTTTGTAAATTAATATTGTAAATCGATGTGTGTATGTGTATTAATTGATGATGCCATTACATAACAAAGAAACCAAAATTTCATATTATGTTTTGTGCAATAGAAACAAACAAAAAATGAATTTTTCTTTGTTTTGTTTTTATAGATAAAGGGATAACTATATGAGAAGAAAAAAAAATGTTTTTTTCATTCGACGAATTGGAGAAAAATAGAGGACTTTTATTATTAATCTCGCGCTTTCTAATGTTTATCATAATTGATTTTTCGTGTTTTGTTTTCTTTTTTTTCTATTAATACATGAATAAAACTCATTTCAGATTGTTGTCTAATTCATCTTGTTAAATAGCATGGGCGAAAATCGTTATTCAGTTGATTATGCTAAACTTGGAACATCAGCATGCAAAAAATGTAAAGCAAAAATTGCTAAAGGTGAAATACGTATCGCTAAATTAACACCTAGTCCATTTTCTGAAGGTGATATGATGAAAATTTATCATCATGTACCATGTATGTTTGATTCATTTCTTCATGCACGAGCAACAACAAAAATTATCGAAAGTTCAACTGATCTTGATGGATGGATAAATATAAGTCCACTTGATAGAGAAATTATTTTAGAACATATTAAACAAGTTCAAGAAGCTAAAGTGAATAAACCAACGGCTAAATCACCAACAAAAAAACCAACAAAACCGATCACTGCTGCTGTTCCAAAACCAACAAAACCGGTCACTGCTGCCGTTCCAAAACCAACAAGAGTTACACCAATAAAGAAAGTATTACCTCCAATAGTATCTGCTTCGAGTACAAACGAAGATGATGATGAAGATGAAATAACAATTGATAATGATGATATTAAAGTTATTGATAAGAAAAAATCGGTAGAAGAAAAAGAAGATAGAATAGATATAACAGCAACAACAAATGGAGTTCATATTCCAATAAATGATGATCCGAAACATCCAGATAATTCATTTCGACAATTTCGTGGTCTTTGCACAAAAATTGCTGAAACAAGTGGACATTTTGCTAAAACATCTATTGTTGAGCAATTTATTACTTATGGTTGTGATGGTGAAAGTTATAAAGGTGAGAATATTAATAAAAGTTTATTGACATTCAAGAGAAAATTTCATTTTAAAAACTAAAGAAAAATTCATATTTTGTCAACATATTTACTGTATTGAAATCGTCAAATTGAAGTTAACGAGAAAAATCGTTGATGTGATTATTTGATATGAAGCCGAGACTCTGTGCATCACGTAGATTCTAAAGATTCATGAATACCTTGGGAGTATTTCAGATCCGAGCTCTTCTCAGAATATTCAATATCTTGTTAAGATCTACATGATGGGCGCATAGTTCTGATTCAAAAGTGATAAATTAACTAGAGGACTCCTCTCGTAAGAAATATTTTCTCAAGAGAAAAAAGACAAAAGTCAATCGAGTAATCGCATGTGATCATGAATCATATTTGAAGATAATCTAAAATGTTTTCATAGTTAACTAAAGTTTAAAACCGAAAAATTATTTATGATATTTAAATCAGATGTCATTACAAAATAAGATATTTTTTTGACTTATGAATACAGTAATTGAGAAAATCTACAATTTTATCATTTCCTCGAGAAAAAAAGGATTTCATTTCAGTTATTTTAAAGATAGTTCATAATTTAAATCCACAAACAGATGTTTCTAATTCTTTCTCCGAATTACTAGAATAAATATTCTCTCATTTTTTTATTATTTTAGGTAATTTAAGCCTATTAATTCATCTTCTTTTACCAAGTAAAGGTTATAAATCAATAATTTATAATCTAAAATCAAAACAATTATGTAAACTTTTTTCAATAATTTTTCATGAAAATGTAATTGCAATGATTCAAAAATGTGAAGAAAGTGGTGGTAAGAAAAATACTTAAATAAAAACTAATAAAGAAAGAAAATAAATGTCATTTATGTTTTTTTTTTTCTATTTTCTTAATAAGATGTTGCTGAAACAATAAGTGATTTTTATTCAACATCAACGCATGTAAAACCACCGCCAAAAACAATGCTATCGAATTATGATGTTGATAATTATTTACATGAATTAGGTCGATTAACACGTGAACAAGATCAAATACAATTATTACGTAAAATAACTGAAAAATCAACTGTTAATGATTTACGTATGTTTATTCGTCTTATTCAAAAAGATCTTGTACATATTGAATATTTTTTTTCTTTTTCTAATAATCTATTGATTTATTCTATTTCCTAGAAAATTAATGCTGGTCCAAAACATATTATTGATAGTCTTGGTTCAAATGCTTATGATAGTTTTCAAGCAACAAATGATTTAAAATCGTTTATTAAACGTTATTTAGAACATAAAAATTCTATCGATAATGGTACACAACTTAATAAACAACTATCAATTAAAATTGAACTTATGACACCAGGTTAGATATTCTCATTTTGTAAAATACGATCTAAAAGGATTGTTGTAGTATAGGAGTAAAAATGTCGAGCCTTCTCATCCACACAGACCGTGACCGATGTTTTTAGTATACGGTCAAAGATTTTATATCAATAATGTCTCATTCTAATATATAAACTGCTTTCTTACTACATTTCTGGAGGAGTAAGTAGAAGTATGGTGAAGATGTGTCCTAAAATAGACAGAATAAAGCAATCTCATTGTGTTTAGCAAAAGTAGCTATATTGTAATGCTGCAAGGATTGTGCTAACCGATTTTTTTTTGAATATAAAAAAAACAAAAAGGAAATTTTGCTTTTTCATATATTTTGAAGTTCATCCAATGCTTGCTGAACCGTGTAAATCCGTTGATTTTGCATTTAAACGTTGTCCAAATGGTTTTTATGCTGAGATAAAATATGATGGCGAACGTTTACAATTACATAAAAATCAAGCAAATAAATTTAAATTTTTTTCACGAAGTTTAAAACCTGTTACTGAACATAAAATTGAACAAATAAGTCAATTTGTTTCAAAAGCATTTCCAAAAGGTGAATCATTGATACTTGATGGTGAAATTTTATTAATTGATAGAAAGTAAAATAGATTTTACGAATAGATTTTTTTTTTCTTTTTTTATTTAAACATTTTTGTTTTTAGAACAAAAAAACCATTACCATTTGGAACACTTGGTGTACATAAAAAGAAAGAATTTTCAGAAGCTAATGAAGTTTTTTTCATTTTTGATTGTCTTTATTATAATGGCCAAAGTCTTTTACGTAAGTTATTTAAAAGTTTATTATTGATCTTATGCTAAAAACGGCTGGAAGAAAATACAGATTGACATAGTGAAAATTATTGTTTCTTATGTTCGAAAATTTTTGATTTTTTTAAATTGTTTTTCATTTTGAATATCGAATATTTTAAGAAGAAAGCAATTGTTTTGACTGAAACTTTTAGGATATTCTTAGAACTACGCGGCCTACTCCTAGACGAAATTTTCAATTCTAAAATTTTTTATTTAATTGTCTTCCATGAAAAATGGCATCTAGAATTTGAACTGATGAGAATGTGAAAATAGCGGTAGTTATTTTGTAATATTCTGTTTGTGCTAATAGAATTAAATACTATATTTCGATATTTTAAAGCATTTCAATTAGGTTGGATTATTTATAAGATTTTTCTTCTCAAAAAATGATTACTATTTTTTTTGGTATTGAATAATACAGAAACCAAAACATTAGACCTCGATAAATGTCTAACCCAGAAAACTGGAGACTATTATTCTTCCTTGTATTTGAAGAAGTATGATTTCAACGATTCTTCAAAAACTTTCTTACGGTCGAATGGTTTACAGAATTTAGTTTAGATGTAATTAGGGCGTAATAGTTGAGAAATGTCGTAGTTTAGAATGTATGAATTGTTCAAGAAATAGTTTTCTTTGTATTTTAGATAAGACATTAAAAGAACGTCGGGAAATTCTTACTGAACATATGGCACCAATTGAAAATCGTATTCTTCTTTCTGAATTGAAAACAATCAATAAAAAAAGTGAACTTAAACATTTAATCAATTTTACAATTGCCGAAGGTCTTGAAGGATTAGTTCTCAAGGTAAATATCTATTTCATACGCACGAAAAAGACGAAGATAATCATTCTTGAAAATATCAAATTTGATGTTTCAACAGGACTTTTTACAGTCAACTGTCTTTGACTCTGATACATGGAAAAATTCATTTTGACTTACGAGGGAAGTAAGTGAACTGACACTCGGCCTTGAAGCTTATATTGAGCCCATAAGGACACCTTGGTGAGACAAACAAAAGTCTAACAGGGGCTCGTCTCTATGGCCTTTTCAAACCGAGTTAGAATCGTATTGCTCATGCATAGATCTAATGGCTCTTTGGACATCCTAAGAGCCATTAGATGTATATAGGGACGAAGTTTTACGTCGAGCTTCTATTTTTTGATTTTTCAGTACGTATCTAAAGGAGGATCGAAAATTTAGTAAAACGATTCTAACTCGGCACCAAAGATCCATGGCTATGAACTTTTAAAGACTTTTGTACTCTTTCCGATACCTCTTGTGGGCCCAATATGGGCTCAAATGGCAAGTATCAATTCGAATCGTTCCCTTGTTAGTATCTTTAATTGGTTTTTATACAGAAACTAAACATTTAGCATATGTGCTATTTCCAAGTCGCAACGTGATTTGACTTTTACCTATTCATACGAACCTTTATCTAAGTGTTCGAATGTATCGTTCATAAACAAATTATTTAATGTTTTTTCCCTAGAATCCTGATGGAATCTACGAACCAAGTAAACGTCATTGGCTTAAAGTTAAAAAAGACTATCTAATGGAAGGTACAATGGCTGATACAGCTGATTTAGTTGTTCTCGGTGCTTATTATGGTACAGGTAAAAAAGGAGGTTTAATGAGTGTATTTTTACTCGGTTGTTATGATCCAAAAACTGACCAATGGTATACTGTGTAAGTAATCATTTAACTGTATATCGAACGTTTTTTTTAACCGTTTTCGTTTTTTCTTATGCTTTTTTTTTCAGAGCAAAATGTGGTAATGGTTTTGATGATGCAACATTAGAAAAACTTCAAAATGATTTAAAACCAAATATGACAAAAATATCGAAAAACCCAAATCAAATACCTAAATGGTTAAATGTTAATCGTGATCTTATACCAGATTTTATTGTCACTGATCCAAAACAATCACCTGTTTGGGAAATAACTGTAAGCATTCTTTCTTTTTATTTTCTTTTTTTTTATCACAATAATTTAACATAAAAAACATACATTTTTTTAAGGGCGCAGAATTTTCTAAATCTAAACAGCATACAGCAAATGGTATTTCAATTCGATTTCCTCGTGTAACAAAAGTTCGTGATGATAAAACATGGAAAGAAGCAACAAATTTTGATTATTTAACTGAACTTTTTGAAAAATCAAAACCATCAAAAAAAGAAAATGATGAAGATGAAGATGAAGAAAATCTTGTATGTTTATTTCAAACAAAAAGAAAAGATCTCTAAAATAAAAACTTCTTTTTCTCGTATAGTTTCATTTTGGCGATACAAATGATAATAATAATAATAATAATAGCAGTAATAATAATAATAGTCCACAAAAACCAACACCAATTAAACGTAAATTACTTGAAATTGATTCTGATGATGAAATTGAAATACAACCAAAACCAAATAAAATTATACGTAAATCATTACCAAATAGTTTACTTAAACTTAATTTTCCAAATATATTTGCTAATCAATATATTTATTTATCATCATCATTACCAATGGATGAATATAATAAATTAAAACGACATATTGAAGCATTTGGTGGTCAAGTACTTTCACCTAAAGATATTAATAATGAGAAACAATTATTACGTGTAACACATTGTGTTGGAGAAAAAGATGCAACATTTGATAAAATTGATTTAGTGAAACAAAAAATTCAAACCAATGTTACACATATATCATTACCAACAGTTTATGTTTGGAAATGTATTGCAAATAAAACAAAACTTTAAAGACTTTCTATGTAGATACTTTTTTGTGTAAAGTATAAAAAAAAAAGTTATTCCGGAAATTTTTCTTTTTTTTTTTTTTGTATGATTTGTGAATAGAATTTTTTCGTTTGTCTTTGGTGTTGTGATATTAGTTAAACAAAAAAAAACAAGCGAAGTATACTTCAAAAAAATTCTATAAAGTTTTTTGAATAGAAATAATTTTGTTTTTAGTTTTAGGAATTTTATTCTTGACTTTTGTTTGATAAACAAAAATGAACTAAGAAGAAAATAATATGTAATATAGACGACGTAGAAAAATGTGCTAAATATGACATATGATAGGATTAATGCCTTGAACGTAATAATTGAAGTGTGATAAGAACGGTCTTATCTTCTTTCTCATTAGTAATTTTGTTTCTTTATTAGTATTATTATTTTACATGAGCAAGTACAATGTAGCCCCAACATTTTTGTAGCATGAATCATTTGATTTGATGTTCTTTATTATAAAGTAAATTGAGATATGTATATGTCGTACCGAAGTTACACCGGTCGACAAAGTTATAACTTTGTCAACAATTTTGTCGAAGTTACAACTTCGACAAGATATTTTGTCGAAGTTATTTTTTACACATTTATTGATAAATAATTTTATTAAATTGAATATCCTGCAACTGAATCTATGATCAAAACTAAATATTTTCTAACAAATGTATATTTATTTAACAAATTTGTTAAATAAATATACATTTGTGAGAAAGTGTTTAGTTTTGATCATAGATTCAGTTGCCGGATATTCAATTTAATAAAATTATTTATCAATAAATGTGTAAAAAATAACTTCGACAAAGAAATAACTTNATATCTATGAGCATTCTTGTAAATCTATCTAGTTTTTTGTAACAAAATATAGAAGTAAGTCTTTTATCTCATTAGAATCTTCAGATCGTGAGCGACAAAAGTACCTATTTAGTATTTATAGATTCTATTTTATTATTGAAAAGATTGAATCTTATTCCCAGTCTGGTGGTAACATGAGGCGAAAAAAAATGTCCTCCTATTTGTCAGCGTTCATTATCATCGTTGGATCAAAGAGCAAAACTGATGGCATATTCGGAATCAGCATCAAAAATTGCAATCGAATCACATATGTTGTAGTAAAAACTGTTTCCGATGGAAAATCGATCTGTGGTCTTCCTCAGGTCTATTTTTCTATAATTTTCCCCTAGTTCCCCACGGATCGATTTTTTGAAAAAAACAAAGATTCTTAAAACATGTAGTATTCGATGCAGGGTTTGACGTTGATTCAGAATATGTGTCATCAGTTTTGCTCTTTGACTCAATGATGATAATGAAAACTGTCAAATACGAGGACATTTTTTTTTCTTTTTCCTCACGTTACCATTCCACCGGAAAAGATTCAATCATTTCAACAATAAAATAGAATCTATAAATACTAAATAGGTACTTTTGTCGCTCACGATCTGAAGATTCTAATGAGATAAAAGACTTACTTCTATATTTTGTTACAAAAAACTAGATAGATTTACAAGAATGCTCATAGATATATGATTTCAGTTTGATGAACATAGTTTTATCGAATAGAATCCTTTTAAGCTTAGTAAGTTTACATCTTCGTAAATAACATTTTTCTACTCAGTTTTTCGTGCTGATTGAGAATATACTATTTTCAAAAAGTTTACAAAATAAATGTAATAAAAAATTGACAGTTTCTCTAGGAAAAGCGAATTCGTAGCTGCAAATACCGCATTTTACTCATTTTATGTGTTTAAGAAATGTTCAAGCTAAAGAGTGATCGAATCAAAATACAAAACGTACATTCGTGAGCAGCTTTTGAAGCTCTATCAAATCATATATAATAGAACAAAAAATAAGATTCACTAGAATTTTGCATTTTTGACACCTTATATACGTATATATATTGTTCAAAGCTTGATGATAAATCATCAATTAAGAAATATATAGCATGTCAGACATTCAAAAATGACATATAATTGAACCTTTACATATATTGAAACCAAAGCATTCTACTTATGAATTACTTGTAATATTTTTACTTTTTCAGAATTTTTCAATTTCACTTCAGTTTATTGTTAAATATACATAATAGAGTTCATCATATTCATGAAAAACTAATGACTTTAATGTAAATTATTGGTTTTTTCTTTTTAGTACTGATAACAAAATGTTTCTTTTTTTGTATTGAAAAAATTTTTAAATGTTCATTGTATTTTCTATGTGATTATGTTTAATAAATGAATATATCTTAGCTATTATTTTGTTTAGTAGCAAATTAACTTTTGTTATAATATGATGCTAGCAATAATAATTCATAGGATACTATAAATGAATTCTGAACGATGATGATAAATTGATAAAATGATTGATCAACTTTCAAAAATATGTCAAGTCATAATTGATATAATTTAAATTTTGTTAACAAGTTGACTTTGTTTTTTTCTTTTTGAGAATTAAATTAATAAATGTAAATATATTTTGGAAAAAACCATGAACGATATTGTTATGATAATAATAAAGAAAGGAAGAAGAAAACATGACTAGAGTTTCGTATGGTTCATCAGAAAAAAAATATTTTCTATATACAATTATATCATAAACAAAATGAATAAATCTGAAAAATGTGTTCGTAATTTTTCTACATTGTACATGCATTATTCAAATTGAAATTTCTTAAAACACTATTAAGAAATTATAGGGATATATTACAACATTTAAACGATTGATAAAGCTGTCATAAAATTAATATAATCTATTACTATTAATGTTGATAAATGTAATGCTAGTAAAATCATTAATTCAAAACGAAAATTTGCTTCTTTTTTTTTCATGTTCAAATAAATACAAAAGTCTTTGACCAAAATATTTTTTTTTCTATTTACATAAAATAACATCGCAATATGATGCATAATATATACCAGAAAAATATATTCTATTTATAAATTCTTCGCAACAGTTAGATTATTTCCCGTTTCTCTCTTTTTTTTTGAATAAATTTCATGTTTAGAGAAAAAAAAACAATTCGTTTTTTTATTCTATTTTCTGTTTATGTCAAAATGATTATTTATCTTTTGAAAAAATCTTTCTAATCTCAATGATGTTCAATTGAAGTTTTTTGTTTTAAAAAACAATTATTCATAGTGAACAAGAAGATCATAGCATGGAATAAAATTTCAAAAATAAAAAGTTGTAATAATCGAATTCGGTTGACATAATTTGTAAATCTGTGTCATATTTATGTGTGGAATTTAATTTCATAAGCTAGACAGAGAAAAAAAAGAAACTTGAGACAAATAATCTACATGTTCTAATTAATTTATTTCATAAATCTTTGCATGTTTACTTACTTCAAAGTTACTAACAATGTTCTTAAAATGAAAATGAAGATAAAATTTTAATTAAACATCTAATGACAATGTAATGAGAAAGTTTTTTTTTTAACTTTTTTCTCGTGTTTTATTTTCAAAATGCAACATTTTTATCATGAACTAATACGTGTTTCATCTCATGATAATTTTCGCATTTTGTGATGAAAAAGAAAATTATAATACTTGGAATTTTTTATTACTATTTTGAGAGATGATGAATACTGTTATATGAATCATGCAGATTAGTGCAAAACTATAACTCATAAAAAGAAATACTATGACGGCATTCAGATGAAGTCTTCTTCAATGGAGAGGCATCTTCAATAATATTCGTACATTTCAAGTCAATGAAGATAATTGTAAGTGGTGTTTCTTCATGAAATACTCGGTTATGATTAAAAGGAAGTTATTCAACATCACTTTTGGAAAAAATAAATCCGTTTTTTTTAATCGATCAAGACTTAGTCTAAGTAACTAACGCTGTTAAATAGAATTCTATAGTTCCTCACACTAAGAAACTATAATGAAAATCTCATTAAAAAGAACAGCCATTTATTTTTACAATCTTCTCTTTTTTTATCGTACCTGTAGTCGTTTTCATACTTGTAATTGCTAGTATATAACTAGTAGTAGCTTGAAGCAGGTAAGACTGTGAGGGTAGGTGACGCGATCGTTTACAAACGTAGAGTATCTTTCTTATAACATAATACAAAAAGGAAATTTCAGCTCTGCTGAGAAAAATTAAAAAATTCCCATGATGACGGATGCTTTACACCCCCGACACCCCCTCTAGGTCGAGCCACAACTGTATATAATGTAAGGAATTTGTTTTAGACTTTTTTTTTAATTTAGTTTAATTATGTTTCTTTTTCAAGTCAAATATTTACTTGAATAGGTAAATGTGCCGATTATTACAAAATGTAATGCGTGTCTTAAGCGTGACGTTTTCTTTTTTAATGAAAGTCATATATTTTCACTAGATAATTATGTTAATATGGTAGTCATCTAACATAAGATTGCTAGTATTTCATTTCCCAAGTATTATATACATCTATATAATTAATAATTGTCATGAAATACTCTTTAGTCATAGCGAGGTATGTCTTTCATTTTATTTTGTTGTCCTTGATGTAGATTTATTATTATAATATGTTGTTTGATCAAAAAGTAAGATTAAAAAAAAATTCTTCTATTATGTTAACATTGAATAGATTTTGATGAATTACTTGGAGAATTAATCAAGATCGAAAAGGGTAGAGAGTGTATGGATGTTTTGTTTCCTATTGATTAGTTGATTATTTATTATTTATTTTTTTTCTTTTAGACATTTCTATCAATCAAATAAATCATATTGAAATAGATTCGAAACAGATCATAAAATAGAAAGGAAAAGGAATACGAAGATAATTATTTTCTTTGTTTCAATACGAAACAGAAAAACTAATAAACATGCATGTAATGTTCTTATCGTGTAATTATGATTTTATTATAATGTGCATAATACTGTGACAAAGAAAGATGAAAGAGTAAATGAGAACGACAGCAAGCATAAGACAAAAGAAAAGGAAACCCAATCAGTTCCGAAAAACAATCTATTCTTCATATCACAATATTTACTGGTTTGTCTTGTAAAAGAGTTAGAAGGAAATTAACACAATACAGTGCATGTGCAACTGTCGTCATTGATAATTACAGATTTATGCAGAAGGATTTCTTTTGTTTATTTTCTGATTAAGAAGTATGATAAATGAATCGTTCAATACACGTATATGTGATGCTTCTAGAATATTTATTTGGCTATCTACATTTTCTTGTTATTGTTCCCTGTTTTAGTCTTCCATAAAGATGCATTTTTATCTTATAGTTGAGTTTTTCTTTTTCTTTTTGTCTTATAAATATTATTATCAGTACGTTTCGATATTATAAAATAATAATATTATTAAATAGAATAATAAGATAGGACTGAAAAAAATTCTATTCATTTTTAATAAAGACTTTTTCTCTTTATTAGTGAGAAAAATATTTCTTTTTCTTCTTTTTCTTAAGATAATTATTATATTGTTCAATTTATTTAAAAATTTTGTTGACGTTAGTAGTATGTTCTTCATAAAATAGACATTTATACTTACTATTCAGTTTTAAATAAAAGGAAAAAGAAGAGTAAATTCTTTAGAGATTGTTTTTCTTTCTATTGATGAATTTTATTTGCTTTCATTTAGACAAATTTTGTTGTAGAATATTCTATTACAATAATTATTATAATTACTTGAAAAATGTAATTCAAATTAACTGAAACTTACTGTTATATATCTAGTTACTGATGTATTTATTCATTTCTTTTAGTTGGCAAGGAAATCGACAGGCGCATTTTTGTTGATAATGTATATGTCAATTATGTTTTCTATCATACGTAATTTCAACGAAAGTTACATTTTATATAACATTGACCTTTCCCAATGCTAGTGGAATTTTTTTATTGGTTTTTTAAGGTTGATTCTATTATCCCTAGATTGATATTTATTATCATTAATATTATAGAAGTCTAATACTTACATTTTCCGTTGGATGATATTACAAACCTGTCTATTATATAAATTAATGGATAATACACCATATGTGATATTATTATTTTCTTTTTTGTTTGTCTACTAGGGATCTAAGATTTTCTCTTTCTTCTTTCTCTTTTATGTTGTTAAAAAAGAACGACAAATAATGTCACATTGATAGGAAAATATACTGCTAATCGACTTGTTTTTCATGAGTTTTTATTTATTAATGCAAAATGATATCAGTAGCCAGTAGTCTAGCATGCATGAAGAGTTTATATCAACATATATATATATATACACATTATTTCATTTGAGTAAGTTTTATTATTTGTTGTTTGGGTTGTTATTTTTTTTCCTCGATCTTCTTGGAAACCTTAATGTTAATGATTTCATGAGGACAGAGATTCAAAAAATAGACAATAATTTAACGTGACAAGGAACGTGTCAAAGCAAAGAAAAGAATATTATATAAACATCAAATGTTTCTTTTCTTCTTTTTCCTTGATAAGTTATTAATCTTTTAGATTAAATTTTTCTTTTCTTTTATTGAATTGAAGAAAAAAAAGAATTTTATAACTTCTATTAGCACATTTTTATGTTTAAGGTATTTGTTGTCAAGATATTTTATATTTTCATCTTTTAGATCATTATATATAAATAGTCATAAAATGCGTCATTTAACATGTCTTTGTAATCAAACTAATTATCTTCAAGAAAATAGTGTATGTACTTTTATTATTAATTATAATAATCATCATACATAAAGATCAACTATATGTCATAAAACAAGATCTTTACTATAAGATAAGCTGTCTATCAGTTTTTTAGTTGTTTTTTTTCCTTTAAAGTCATAAAAATTATTATTATTGTTTATGGCTAATAATCAATTCTACATTAATTCATTACCGATTTATAAATTATTTTTCGATGATATTGAAGAAATATTTCTTAATACAATCTCATTTCGTATTCTTAATATATTATATTTAATAACGTGTTTATTTATTATTGGAATATTAATTCTTCTTTTTTATCGATCAAGAAAACTTTTTTTGCCTTGTCTTATTCCACTTATATATGCGTTAATATTCTATGATTTTATTCAGTTATTATCATTAATATTGTTAAAATATAATGCTAGTGAACATTTTCTTAATCAATTATGTCGTTGGCCATATTATTTAAAATCATCATCGGATGCTGGTCAATGTTTAACAATAATATTTATATTTGCTTTAAGTCGTCATCATATACGATATTTTATAACTCATAATAATTTACCTAATACAAGTTATATTCATTCTCGTGCGTTAGCATTTGTTTGTTTATTATTTATTGTTTATGTTAATAATTGGATAACACATTTAAAAGTTGAAAAAGTACATTTAATAACATTAAATGAAACAAAATATGAAATAAATGTACAAGAATTACCTATGTCATTGCATGATTTAACAGAAATACAAATACATTCTCATCAACGTTTTATAACTGATCTTGATAAATATTCTCAAGGTTATGAAAGAAATATAATTCTACAAAATCAACAAAAAATTACTAAAGATAAAATTATACATAATAATAAAGATGGTTCAATACATGAAATAATAATTAAATTTCCTTCGGATTATTTTTTTACTACATTTAAGAATCCAACAAAAAGAAATGAAACAACAGATTCAAATGAATATAATAATTCATATCGTATTAATCGTTGTACATATGGACAAACAAATTTTGTTTTAACAAATTTTCTTTCATTAATTCATTCAATATGTTATTTTATATTAATATCATATTATTTAATAATTATTTATTCATATAAAATAACAGATACATCAATTAATTAAAAACCGTTTACATTTAGAAGAAAAAAATCAATCGAACGACATGAACAATTTATTTTACTAATGAATTTAAAAAATTTTTTACATGTTATTATTTATTCACATACACTGTTTACCTTGATTCGTCTTATTTACGTATGTCTATTAACAATAACATTATGTTTTGTTCAAACACCATTTAAATGGTTACCAATAAAAATATTCTTCTATTCTCTTTTTCTAATAAGTTATTTTTCCATTCCGTTACGTATGAGTTTATTATTTTTGTTTTGTTTCCTAACTCAATTTTCAAAACATATACAATCAATAATATTTTATTTGTTTCATACAAATTTACGTTTTTCATGGAAATTAGAAAAACCAACAATATGTTTTCGATTACAATTTATACCATATAATATTAATTCAAATGAACTAAGAACTAATTCATTAGTTATTGATTTATCATCATCAATGATGGAAGAGCAATCAATTATAATACCACAAGATTCAATAGCTATGTATAATGAAAGTAGTAGTAGTCATAATGGCGTAACTACAACTATTCTATCCTCACCAATTATGTTTGTCAATGAATCAACATCACCTGAATGTGCTATTACTAAACTGTGATTTGTATTCATGTGTTGTTGTCGTTTTTTTTATTGTACAAAGAAAATATATTCTCGTTAATAAAATTGATTATGTTCAGTTGACCATCCTATAACTACAAGTTAAGTTAAATTCTTCAAATCTGAATAGTTTGTTTTTCGGTTGAAAAAGAAGACTTTTTTTTCATGAGAAAATATAATATGAGCAATGAAATGTGTCTTCATTTAAAAAATTAATTTTTGATTTGCTTTTTTCCTTTCCTTCGTTATGTTTAATATCTAAAAATAGTTCTATATTTAAATCGAAATTCTTTCTTTTGATTTCTATAACAAAAATTGAATCATTAAAATTAGAACAATATGCAACTATTTACAGGAAATAAAAATGAGGTCAGGATGTTTTTTTCGACTTGTCTGAGTACAAAATGTAAATGCATATATGATGTAATTAACCATCAAAAACATAAATGATATGTGAAAATTAGATGAAGATTATCTGATGTTTCATATAAAAGAATCCAGTAATGTGACAAGTCATTATTTACTGGAGTTAAAGTTCCGATACAAACCTAACGTTTCTATAATCAACCTGAAAATCCAAAAATAAAAGCAACAATCAATATCACTTTGAAAACCATAGTTATGTTATTTGTATATCGAGGTAAAACTTTTTAAAGATTTTATTATTAGAAATTAATTTCTTTAACGATTTCATTTTGTAAAAAAGAGATTATCGTTTTTTGCTTTTTAATAATTTACATGAAAGCATCAATATTTTTATCATAACAAAATGACATGATTATCAAGGAAAAATAATACTACTTAAGTTTTAGTTGACAAAACAATGTAGCACAAGGTCGAATTGAAAGAATGTAATTCAGTTTACTTAAATAAATTACAGTGGATATGATATAAATTTTTATAAACAATCATTTAGTATAGTTTGTTCATTTGACTTATGTGAAAGCCTAGAAAAAAATTACTTCTGTTAATTTTACTGAAAAGCTTTTCACGTATATTACATAAGAACAAATATTTGTAATAGAGTCGGAACAAACAAATAAATGTAGGATGATGGAAAAAAAAAAGTTTAACAACAGCATAGTTTTTTTTTATAATAAGAAGTAATTAGCTCAAACTCAGATCGTGGTTATTATAGTCAATGGAGTTCTTGTACCTAATGCATGCCATACTAGATAAATTATGATGGTAAGATTTTCTAAAAAGAAACTAGACACGAGAGTTTTCAAGGCTATTTTTTTAGCAATGCCGTTTTAAAGAGCATAAAATGAAAGGTCGCTGGATTTCCTATTACCTTTTCTTGAAAAGTTAGAAGTGTAACAAAAATCGAAGAAATGTGTTTTTAGGTGAATTTTTCGATTCATTTCGTTTTATGTGATACTTTTAACTTTTTAATGGAAGATCATAGAAAATGCAGTGACGATTCATTCTATTCTCTTTAAAATGACATTGTCTAAATAATAATCTTTTAAGATTTGAAAAATCCGGTGTTTTATTTTGTTTTGAGAAACCTTGCCATCATAGTTCATCTAGTATAGACAACATTAAATAGAAAACTCTGCTGGCTATTAAATTCTTTATCTGAAACCGATTTTACTGCTTAATTTTATAGAAAAAAATTCGTTGCTATTAAACTTTTTTCTACTATCTTACATTGTGTAAGCAATTCTATCACTATCGATAGATTGACATAACTGAAATAAACAATTAATTTCTAATAATCATAGATCAAATACATTTCTACGAAATCTCCAACCACTTTTTTCTGTTTTCATACAAGCAATGTTGGTTTTCCATTTTGTCGTAAAAAGAAAATGAATTTTTCTCTAAAAAAATGGAATAGAACATTTTCATTTTTAGAAAAATAATTGGTTCTAATGAAACCATCAATTTTGAAAATGATCATATTTGATCCTCATATATGTAACATTTCAAGCTTAGGAAATACGAATTCTAATCAAAATTAAGATAATCTTTTTTTTCTTAATACTTTTAGTTAATCTTTGAATTAAACATTTTATTCAGGAAGATAAATTATTCTTTTTTTTGTATTATCACATGATGTGTCCAGTGACAACACATAAATTGTTTTTTTCAAAGATCGATCGTTGAGGTGACCTTATCCGAATGCTTGCATTATCGAAATATCAGCTTAAAGATCACCATCTATGCATAAGACCAAAGCTAGTAGATACAGTTCGATGTACATTAATGCAGAGGTCATATGCAAGAGTATATTCTTAAATTTGTAATGGCATTAGCGTAAACCAGCATGAAGATAATTAAAAAAAAACTAACGTGTAGAATAACTCGTTGTCATCATGACTCGAATAACAGTCTCCATCAATAGATTTGACAGATGAGTATATAGTCAAAATATTGATGAAAATTTTCACTTCATTTCATTCATTAAATGCAGTCAAGTCGATTAAATATACTTAGTATATCATAGAGCCAAGACAGATGCTACTTTTGTTCGATACAATTGTAAAATATCAAAAATTTTAATGTGGTAAATGTAGTAGAAATGATAGCTTCAGTTAATGTACACATTTGTATGTCGGAAAGAAATAAGTACAGTCATTTAGTGAGCCGTTTAAGCTTTGTTAACTATAATATAAGTATAATTCTTCGACAATTACCACTGTTTATTGAAAGGATGTTGTAGTTCACATCAGATATACTCAGTTAACAATTGAGCAACGTATCACCATTCGCTTTTACAGTAAAATTTTGCTTTTAATTGTTCAATATTCGTTAGTCGCAGCAGACTGATCTACAATTCATTCGATGGCTAGCAACTTTGTCTCTTTTTAATAAACTATAATTATTTGCGTCTGATCTTACTTAAAATATGAATAAAAAGTATGATTTCAAACTCATTTATACTATCAGTTGTTCTATTGCTATTACTTATTTATCCATTTATTAATTAGATAGAAGAATAATCTAAAAAATTTGATTGATTATAGATAATTCATGAAAAACTATAATTGATTAAAATACGTAATAATTAATTCATGAATACTAATCGGCACTAATTAGTTCTTGTCTGTATTTTTAAATAATATCGATAATTTCTTAATAAATTATGAATATTAGTGTGATATTAATAGCAAAAGTTTAAAAGTCAATATGCATTATTATTTGTGCATCGATATGTTGCAAAGTATTTTATTTACCTGAAATTAGATATGACCGGTCAGACGTAATGGTACAATAGTCTGACTGGTATCAAGTTTATCAGTTAAAAATTGGATATAATCCAGAACATTAAGTGTGTACTCAGCACGACTATCCAATAGACATACATTATTATGATAACTAGTTACAAGACTTTGGTATATTGTTTCTGTTCTACATTCCTTTAGTCAATATATAGAAACTTTTTCGATGTACTTTATTTGCTAACAGTAACTACCCTTCTGTTAGTGTGACTGAGCACTCAGCCGGACTAGTATCTATTAATACAATCAAGACAAAATAATTCATGTTCACATCAATAAACATGGTTGAACTATATTTGTTTCTCACAAGTCACTGATCATTAATATGAAGTTTCGCTACATTTTATCGTTGAAGAGCGAGGGGGCCTCTTAAAATATTTTTAACTCTTGTATATCGACGACGTTGCAAACAGTTCGATAGTATTTCAATGCATTTGATAAAATAGTAACAAAAGAGTATAATGTTCAACTACCATTCGTTTGCAAAAAATCTGCACAACTTGAATATTTAGATCAGTTCGATTCAGATTCAATTCAACTCTGACTACTTACTGCAGAACACATGTAAATCGAGACTTGTCTATGACATACATGCCAATAATAACCTTTTGTTAATCTTCATCAATCAAATGAATGCATGCAGCACTGCCTAACTGGCGAGAAACAAGTAGTAGCTTACAGAACTCGAGACTGAATAATATGATGATCAAAAAATTCTTCTTGTCTACTATCTATTTAATAAACAATTCTATTTTTAACTAGTTTATATTGCTGCCCTACAACACAGTCGGATACTCGCCAGACTGTATGACCCGAAGCATCAGTTCGGATATAGGGCATGAAAAAAGAGGTCGGTTCCGGGTCCGGATACAAGATCATACCCGGAACCTGAACCAGGAATTAATGAGACCTCGATGCTTCAAAATATGTTAATTTTTCAAACTTCTATTTTATAGAAAAGTATCAGAGTAGAAACGTGAGTAATTTATTGTACTTGAAAATAGGTCACAAAAGTGAAAAGCAATATTTTTTTACTAAAAGAATTCATGTTTATTGAAAATTCATATATAGAAACGGTGATAAACCATATGACAAAGTGATTGAATACATGGAGAGGAAATTGAATAATCGAAAAGACGAATTTATATTATTGTGATAGAGAAAGTATTCGTGTATGTGCCCACAATTATGATGTTCGGCACCAACACCGCATCCCATTCCAATGTCATCAATAATAAGCAAACGTATATTTAGCGAAATTTATCAGATTTTAGAAATATAAAGATATCAAGTGAATCCCGAATCACTTACTGTTTTATGCTGCTGTTTATGTAAGAAGAAACTAAATAGTGTACTTTTCCATATAAGATAAAAATTTGAATACCTTACTGTGACTGTAAGAGTATCTGTTGGATGTCGATTAGTTCCGGTCGAGTACCAGGTATTAGACGGACGGATTTGGTTACCAAAATGATACACAAGCAGGATACTACATATATATATATACTTAGGGTGTACCAAAAGTTCTGATCACGGCGTTACTTAGCCATATAGTAATCTTTAAAAATCTTTCTTTCTATATAAGCCTGATAGAGAAAAGAATGCTCTATTTTTCTATGCTATTTGATCATACTTCAACTAATATTATGATAATAAATTTTGGATAAGACTTTTTCCGTTATCGTCTGTGGTCTAGTAAGTTTTGGATTGCAGTATCCAATCCCCTAGTACATTGTATTAACAACCAGAGTATACCATAAGATGCAGCGTGAAAAGCTCTACAATTTACATATGACCACTTTATAGTTGAACTTTTCGTTTTCAAAATGGACAATATTTTGGAAGATCAAAGTTCAACCATGCGAAATTTATAATGTTTTTGATACATGGCGAATTCATTTTTTTTTATGTCATCGTTTTGTCATCTGATATGCTTTATTGTATTAACAACCAGATACACTACAAGATGCAGCGTGAAAAGCTCTACAGTCTTCACAGTGAAGCTTATTGTAATTGTTTTAAAAAGAAGGAAAATTCCGTGCCACCAATTTTTGCAATGCTCAAAATTTGGCCCCTTAAAACTTTGTTTATTTTGAAAATGAAAAGTACAACTATAAAGCAAGTTGTTTTATGTAAATTGTAGAGCTTTTCACGCTGCATCTTATGGTATATTTTAATTGTAAATACAACGCATTGGAGGATTGAAAATTAACTTGCCTCATCCTTTGTGATCTAGTACTATGAGCACAAATGATAACAAAAAAAAAGTGTTATCAAAAATTTATTATCATATTATTATTTGAAGTATGATCAAATAGCATAGCAAAATAGAGCACTCTTTTCTCTATTATACTATATAGAAAGAAAGTTTTTTTTAAGCTTACTATATGGCTATGTAACGTCGTGATCAGAACTTTTGGTACACCCTAAGTATATGTATCCATATGATCTTTTTTTCATATTTGATGATTTCGGTAGAAATGAAAAAGGAATTTCTTAGTTTTTAAGTATATCCATTTTTGCAAGATCACTACAAATAAACCCAACCTATAATACATTTATTATTTTAAAGTATATATATGTACACAAAATGCCAAATAATAACAATGATCACTCATTTTTCAAACAAAAAAAAATGCGCCCTCAAAACATAAAAAAAAACATGAAGGAAAAAAAAGAATTTCGTAATTGTTATTCAGAATGAGAAATTGTCACCATAAAAACAAAACAATAATGATGGTATGTGATGGAATCAAAAAAAAAAGAAACAGAATAGATGTCATTTTAAATCAAGAACACAAAGACAATACAGTATCATTTTTAAACAGAAAAGAAGAAAAAAAAAGAAAAGAAAATGATCATGAGATTGTTTATGAGAATTATATTCATCTATTTAACTGTTGTTGTTGCTTTTTTTTGTCCACCTGTTGTTGTTTTTTTCATTACATTTACTTGAGATGTTGGAACAACGACTGATTTTTGTTGCTGTTGTTGTTGTTGAGGATATTTATCTGTAAAAAAAACAAAAAAGAAAATTTTTATCGAATCATAATATTTTCGAATATGTTTTTTTCTGTTAATAAATTACTCTTTTTTAATGCTTGAATACGTCGAGGATTTTTAACACAACCATCAACACCCATTAAATGATCACGCCATGGTTTATCACCTTCGGGAATATTCATATGACATAATGGGCAACGATTTGTATTTGGTTTTATTTCATGACATTCTTTAAGTTTAACATGAACATCAAAATCATTTTCAATTGCTTCTGTACATCGTGGACATTGCTGATATTTTCCTTTCTTTCCACATTCACGTAATAAATGGTCGATATAAATTCCAATTTCTACTACCTGAAAAAAGAACAAAAAAATACGAATAAGAATAAAGAAAAAAAAAAAGATCTCAAAAGACAAACTTGATTGCATTCTTGACATCTTCGTAGCATTGGACAATTAGCCCAATAATGTTGTTCAAGACCATCGCGTACAAAATCTTCATTTTTTTCACCACAAAAAATACATGTACTAAACAAAGATAAATTTAGTATATTATCAAAAGAAGCAGTAGAATATTTTGAATAGTAGCGTTTGCTAAACAATGTTAATATAAGACTCTCATGGAGAAGTTAAGAATAGGAAGAACAAGGGCGAATATTTTTGTGTCGTTCAGATAAAATACAGTTAGCATTTCTCCATTGTAGAGTTTAAAAATCAATTTTTGAATAGAGAAATTGAAGTTTTCTCTTGTTAAATATTTCAATCGATTCAGCTGACATTTTTTTGCACGACTACTAGAAACAAATTGGTATGTGTATGTTTGTTTGCGATGAGAGAAGAAGCTATTTTTGACTCTATATCTCATAGAAGAAAGCATCCGCGAATTCGGAGCCTATCACATTCAAACACTACTAGTAGAGATATATCTACCCTGAAAATTTAAAAATTGTTGGTCGATCACTTCTCGAGCAAGCAGAGTTCCCGTAAAGATACATGCCAACATTAGCCGTTATTGAATTTCGATTGTTTCAAAAAAAAAAAAGAGTTTTCGAAATATTCTACTGACAAAACTGAACAATAGAAATCAAAGGAAACTTTCAAAAGCTTTTAGTTTATCTAACCATTTGTGTTAATAGGCAATAATTTTGAGAATAATATTAGTGATTTTATAGTAGTCAGGACATTATTATTTGATTTTATATAGGATAAAAATTTTAATTCTTTTTTTTTGTTCTCTAGAAGAATTCTAATGTATTGTCATCTTATTACCTAAATTTGATTCGAACATTATCTAATGAAATCTACTTGAAATTTATTTTTCTAACATACTTTTCAGGAGTAAATTCAGATTCATCAGCAACACTAGTCGTTGGTGTTTTTCGATCGAATCGTGTTGGTGTACGAGATTTACTAGTTGATCCTTTTGCATCAAACTAAATCAAAGAAAAATAAATTGTTTTTCTTTTCTTTTGTTTTTCTAAATATTTTTCTTTTTACATTTTTTTGTTGTTCACGTGCTGTATTTTGTTGTTTTAAAATATCACGTTTTCCTGCATCTGATATTCCACCTTGTTTTCGTCCAGTTTCCGATGGATCACTAGTTGATGCCTGAAAAAGAGAAAATTAAATATTTTTTATTTATTATTTAATATCAAAAAATACTTTTTCATCTCCTTTAACAGTTCGTCCATCCATTCGATCAAATGCATCAAATATATCACGATATTTTTTTATTCGACGTGTCTGTTCATTATCAGGTGGAAGATAACGTTTTACAATTGCTCCATGTGTCTATATATATTTAAAAAAGAAATAAGAACAAATATTTTTTTTTAATATAAAGTTCTTTGTATTTGTTTTTTGTTATACTTTATATAAACTAAGTAGAATTTTCATAGCCAATTCTCGTACTTCACCAGCTACAAAAGAAAAAATGAAATACAAAAAATTTTAAATTATATATCATAAGATGTGATTTACCATTATGTTCAAGTGCTTGTGCACAAAATTTACTAACATTATCAACATTTAAGCCATTGTCACCTGTTTTAACATCAAGAATTTTCATTAATTCTTCAATAAGTTCACATCGACTTATAGCTAATCTTGGTGCACATGTTTTATTAAATGGTAATACACAATAATGTGTTATTATATGTAATGGTTTTAATTCTGGATATGATGCAGATTCAATAATAGCTTCTTGTGCTCGTTGTCTTAAACGTGCATTTGAATCACCTGTACGTTGTAATAAAACAGGTAAAACACGTTCTAAACTAGCTATAATATCTTGTTTTTGTATTGAATGTCGTCTAACATAATCATTCATTAATAAATGAAAAAGTTTAAGTGATTGTGAAAATGTAGCAAGAACATCAACACGAAACATTCGTGCTACAACAAAACTACCAGCACGTAAATGAGCACGAGCATCTTCTTGATCACCAGAAAATGAATTTAATATTTGATAAATTTCATCTAAAGCTTCTTCACGTCGAGCATGATTTCGATGATAAAGTTTACCAACCTTTAAACGAAAAAAAAAAAATAAAATAAAATGTTGTTCATTAATAATTTTTATTTTTTTAAAACAATCAAAAAGACTTCTTAATATTACATAGTATTCTGACAAAAAATCTAAAAGGATTTGAATTTCTATTGGTAGCTTACTAAACTATCGAATTTTTAATATGTCTATTTTCTAGAGAAATCGGAAGTTTTTGGAAAATTCGTATTTTCGAATTAAGACCTGAAACTTTGTGAACATAAAGAACTCAACTAGAGTAGCTACCTAAAAAAAACTCAAAAGTTCTGAATAAAGTCTCTTCAAAATATGAAGCTTTTAGACAATGTAGGTCATATACACTGTTCTAGATCAAAATTCAAAAATACGAGTTTTCCGAAAATCTGAAATCTTTAGAATAAGAAACTCGATAGCTTAATCAAATTGTCAATAAGAGCTTAAATTCTGTTAGGATTTTTATTAGAACGCTATCGAGTATCTTTAGACAAAAATCATTGCAACCGAAAGTGGACAGGTGAAGAGGTTCTCTCGTTAATGTAGTCAGGTCACACTGACCTAAACAAGCGTCAGTGTTGATTAAAGTACTAGAGCATACCGTTACACAATAAGGGCATCATATTCTAATAAATTTGATGTCTTAATTTTGTAGTGAACGGAAATGTCACTCAAGTCAGTGCTTGAGTGAATGCCGTATCGTGATTCAACATTAGTGTTTACACCAATACTGCATATCCCTAATTTGAATATACGAATTTTCTCATCAATCACAAATCTTAAACCTTTTTTGTTTATTCTGTGTTTACTTTGTGACAGAAGAAATGTTCTCTCCTATGAATATTAATTTTAACGTGAGACTTTGTTAGAAGAATCTTGTAAGTTCAAGATTATCCATCCATTGGATCAAGTGTAAATATGATCATGTAATTGTCTTCGAATCTCTAAATTACATATAAATCCAAAATACATATTTTTAATATAATTTATCCTAAGTCGTTGTTTTTAATATTGATCGTAAAACTTTAACAATCTCACAAAGATTTTAATATCTATTATTTCCTTTTTGATAGAAAGAAAATCTTATGTATCTTAAAAATAACTAATATCAGATAATTAATATTAATAAAAATTTTCAATATATTATTAATTCTTACTAATTGTTTATCAAAAACAACCATCATTTGATTAGCTTCAATCATTTCTGCTTGATTTAATTCTGCAGTTGCATCATCATTCTGTGTATTATTCGTTCCACCATATATACTTTCTGTTTCTTCATTAGTCGTTCCTCCAGCATCACTACTTGCCATTAAAGAACTTTGTAGATTTGCTACATCGACACGATTTCGATTTCTTAATGTTGGAATAACTTTATCTTCATATGGAGTACGTGGTTTTGGATAATCTGGTGATATATAACCACCACCGCCGCCTCCAGTCACAGTAACACTTGTTCGATGTGTTGCATTTGTAACAGTAGGTAATGGTGATGCTGATGAGTCTTGTAAAGTTGGTGGTACATAAGAAACAGCTGATTCTGGTGAACGATGAATTTGAACTGGATTACGCGTACGTCCTTAATTAAATAATTAATCATAAAAAAAGAATAGCAAAATCTAAATTAATTACCATGATTTTGTTGTTTTAATGGGCGAGGAGACTAAAACAAAAGAAAATTAGCTATTGAATTTAAAGAATTTCTTTTTCTTTTTTTTTTTTGTTAAAGTGAGCTAAATAAGCGCAGAAGTGTTGTTGATTAAATGAATACTTTGTATGATATAATTACGAAATGTGTAAGTGCAATTCAAACAATATATATCGAGTGCGTCTAAATGGATATCAATCGAAGTATTTTCTCAACATCAGGACCAAGGTGCATCGCTATGTTTTAATCATTTTTTAAACAAAAATTTTATAATTCAATAATTTACAAGAACGTATCACAAGTTTTGTTATCGAAAATGTGCAATGGAAAAATTAGATAAATAATAGTGTAAAGCTTCAACAGCATGCCCAATTTTCACAGATAAATAAATATTCTGTTTAGTTCTATTCGGTGAAATATTAAATTAGAAAAAAAAATAAATAGCAATCTGATAACGCTTGAAAAAGCTTTAATTTTTGACCACGCTAGTATAATTTTTGTATGAGTATCTCTCATGTAAATAAATTATTTCTTTTTTCGAACATAACACAAATAATGGTTTTTGTATCAGTGATTTGGGAAACTCTTAGAAATATTTGTATAAGTCAACAAAATAACTGACTCGATATAAAACTCACGAAGGAATCATAGGAATTAATGCCTGTGGTTTGAGCTTAAATTGGATCTGCAAGAATGCCTTAGTGAGATTAGCAAAAGTCTATAACGGTTCGTCTCCATGGACTTTTGGAGCCGAATTATGAAATCGACATATCAAATTTTCAAGTAAACTTGATTTTTGTATGATGCTTGTAGCAAGTGAATATTTTTTTAGAAATATCATATCTTAACAAAAGAACATTCTTTGCAGCTGAAACTTTCAGGATATTTTACGTATCACTCAATCTATATATTGGCAAAATTTCAGGTCGAAATTCAATAAGAAGGATATATTTCTGTTCTAGATATTCATGAGCCCAAACCCTTTTAGGATTTTTCTAATCTTACCGAGACCTCATTATAGACTTAATGTAAGTTAAAACTGTGGGTATTAATTAGTTCGGATAGTTTTCTGCGCAATTTTATTTCAACTTCAAGAGAAATCAATGATGCATCGAACTGAAATGACAGAGTTTCAAAAAGATTCTTTATTCAGACACACACTGTACAACATAAGCAAAGTTAACATGCCTTCGGCTAAATTTTAATAAAACAACGTCAACATCTAAATACTTAATTTAAACGAGCTGCACTGAAAAAAAAAGCAACTTTAAACAATCTGGCATGTCAAAGCTTCATATTCTTATTTATCTACTTAACAATTTTGTTAGCAAAACTTGTAATAAGTTCTTTGTAGAGAATTAAATCATAAGTCCTTGAAAAAAAAAACTTCAAGCATCACAATGATATTAAGAAAAGTTTATTCTAGCACATTCGTTATATATACATGTAATACATTGAAATATGTCTACCTCTTGATTAAAATTATCATGTTGTTGTTCATTATTTTCAATTTCCTGTAAACGTTTTAGAAATTCGGTACCTTCACCACCTTCCTATGATGAATATTTATATTATTTCAAGAAAATGAATCATCTATAGAATAAGAAAAATTTGATGTTTTTTTCTTTTACTTACAATAACAACATCGAGTAAATTAAGTACTTGAAGTTGTTTATATGTTTCAGCACGGTAAAGTTCCATTTTATCTTTTTTTGATTGTGCTGTTTCATAATCTTCATTCTAAGAAAGAAAAAAAGTTTTTTTTTTTTTTTCGAAGTTATCATAACCAAATTAATTGAAAAAAAAAAGTTCTTTTTCTTCTTTCTATGGTTTCATGTTATCATAAATCGACAAAAATTTGTAACATACTTCAATAGCTTGTCGTTTTTCAACTTCATAACGAGCAAGTCGTTCGCCAATCTATAATTGAGTTTGTTCGATTTAATCAAAATTATCAATGAATAAATAACATCTTGACATACTTTTATTAATTCTTGAATAGCTTGTTTAAATTTTCGAGCTTGATCAAATTTTTCATCTAGATATTAGAGGAGACAATTATGTGAAATTAATAAGAAGTTCATTGAAATTTTCACCCTGAACACATTCTTGTTTTTTACGATCTAAATTTGTTATAATCGCAGCTATTTCAGGATCTTGATACATTGCAAATGCGAGGTCATCAATAATTGAGATTTGATCCGATCTTGAGCTATATTAAAAAATAAAAATAAAAATAAAAAGAAGAATTGTTTATTCTTCTGAATGAACAAAAATATAATTAAAAAAATCAACCTGTTTGCAAGTGCGTCTGACTGATTTTCACTATTTTCATGTGACTACAAATATATAATGATTAGATTCAATAATAAAAAAACCTAAGTTTTTTTTTCATGTTTTTTACTTTATCAATATCATCACCGAGTAAATTGATTGCAACAATGCTTACCTAAACGCACATACTTTGAATTATTATTTTTATTTTTATAAATTTAATATTACTTGATTATATATATTCGATCGATTAACGTAATTTTTATGTATAACTAATTTTAAAAATATTCCTTCAGCATCAATATGTATTGATTTAAGTTCTCGTGCTTTAAAATCTGTTCGGTCATTACTTGATAATTCAATATATCTTTAAAAAAAAAGAAATTTTTAAATAAGAAAAACAAATCAAATTTATATTTAAATAGTATATTTTACCCAAGACGAGTATAACGTGCATTTTCAAGTGTTGTAGTGTCATCGGTTGTACAATCTCCAATAAAAAACTCAATTTTTGACGCTAAAAAAAAAGAACAATCTCAACAAAGAATTATTCAAATGAACATTTTTTCATTTTACCAATTAAATATTGATGAGAAAGTAATTGTATACGTCGAAGTCGCACACAATTTTCGAATTGTAAAATAAGTTCTTGTGGATATGAACTAAATCGAGAACTTTGCCAACCATTAACTAATGGTCCATGATGATTTAATTCACTAGCTGGATGTTGTTCATCTGAACTTGTTGAATAAACAACTTGATAATGTATTTTTCTTGGCATTCCCTTCTTTTATATATATGTATATTTCTGACGTTTACTTTTATTTTTATTCTTTTCAATCTTAAAATAAATCTCCTATACAAATACGCTTGGACATTATTCATATAAAATAGAATTTTTTTTCTTAGTTATATCCTCCAAAAAAAATTTCATTAATCAAATAAAAAGATGTCAGCATTATATTTTCTTATTCGTTCTAAAGAGGTCCTTTGTTCATTTGCGGCAATTCAAAGGACGCATTTTCTTTTTCGCTTCTATTCAATTTTTGGAAGCATGAGTGATGCTTCTACTACGTCAAATTTCGATAATTATATTATCGAATTACATGATAATCTTGATCGATTACGTGAAATACCTGATGTTGATGAACAATGTTCTGTACTTGTTGGTGATCTTGCTCAAGCTTATTCTGAACATCCATCACCAATGCAAACAGGTAGAATGAAAAACGAAAGAATTATTTTTTAAGAGAATGAAATAAATTTTATCGTTGTTTTTTTTTCATTTAAGCAATGTGTTTATCGGCATTATTTTCTGGACAAAAAAATATTTTTACATTTCTTCGACGTGCAAGTTCAAAAATTGAAGTAAAACAAAAAATTTTATTTTATTTTTTTTTTTGAATAAATTTGTTATGTTTGTCTGTTTTTTTTTGTTAGTTAAAAAAAACTAAAGGTGAAATTCTACAATTTTTAAAATTTTTTGTTGAAACTGCATCAAATAAAATTTTACCATATGCTGTTGAACTTAAAACAGTTCTATTAATTATATTTAATGTTGATAGTGCATCAGATGTACGAGCAGCTATTTTTCCAGTTCTATCACAAGTAAGAAAAGTTTTCTTTAATATACATATCTATTTATTTTTAATGACATAAATTTTAGTTAATGGAATTAAGTGCTGGTTTTCCTGATATGGAAAATGAAATTGATAAAATGGCTACAACATTTCTTGATCAAATTGGATTACAAAGTTCAAAAACAACAGCAACAAGTAAATAAATTATATCGATAAAAAGAAAAACAAAGTTATTGATTGAAAATTCTTTTGTTTGCTTTTTTAATTTTAGTCAAAGGACTTTCTTTGGCATTTTTGGGTTTATTATGTAAATATTTTCCAGAACATATGCGAAAGTATGCCGATCCACTTTTACTTGGACAATTTTTAAAATATTTACATGAACATGTATGTAATCAATTTTCTTATATTAAGAATAAGATAAGAGTTAATGAATTTTATCGAAATCGAACAAAACAATCTGTGTTTCAAATAATCGTAGACAAAATTTGTGGGAAATAGCCAAGAGCTGACTGTGTGCTATGACGGTCAAGACTGAAATTTCTGCTGTTTCCTTACTGGATACCGGCAGTAGCGCAAACTTACGTGCAACATGAAAAGTAAATAATGCCGATTGATATTTTTTCCAAAATGGAAAAAAATAATCGAAGAAAGTTTCGAAATTAGATTTTCGTATTGGACCGATTTGTTAAAATATCAAGGAAAATGGTCAGAAGATAAGCAGAACTATTAGATAGATGAATAGAGAAAGAATCCGATGCTTGAGTATAACATAAAATATTCATTACCTTTGTTTTATGTTTGATAAAATTAACTTATTTTGACTGGTATTTTATGAGCAGAATTACTGTTAAAATGAAAAATTTTCTTCAAGAAAGAGAAATTCACTTACCCTACCGTGAAAATGAAATAAATTATTGTCTTCGAACATATGTATATATTAGTTACCTCCAACCGTGATGAATTGTCTATTATCAAGAGAAAGAAGTTTTCTAATTTATTACCTTGCCGTCGATATTTTGTCATAGCTTGTAGCAAAAAGTTTGTTATGAATATTAGGAAGAATAGTCGATATCAAAGGAGAGATCTATCGAGAAATCAATCATAAAATTTGTCCATACACTTTGAATCCTTATTGGTACGAAAGAAAAATTTTATCGACTAATTTTCTACATTAGCAGGCTTTCATATTGATAATTATTATCCTAAAATTTACTAATTCCAATTAAAATGGTATTTTTCAAAGAACAAAAAAAAAGCTAATCTTTTTAATTAAAATCATTTATTGACCATGGGGAATAGAAAATATTCGATTTTCAATAGTAGAAAATACTTTTTCATATGCTCATATTCTGTACTATGTTTTCAAAATAATGAATAACAACAGAACTATATTTTCAATATGCCATTGTTTTTTTCCTATGTTTAGTTAGTACGAGATGTTGTTAAATTTGAAATGTTAATTGCTGCTGGTGCTATGGAAGGTCTTATTTATTATCTTGCTAATTTTGTTCCATCATCAGTTCCAGGTAAAATTTAAAAAAAAACATCTTAATCCAATTTTTGATCTTGATTTTTTATAGTTCAACAACTAACATTAAATCGAAACAAAACTAAAGATGATGAAAAACGTATAAGAGAAGAACAAATACGATGTGAATCAGATTTAAAACGTGTTTATACATATGCATCACGTGCTATACAAACACAAGATCAGACAAATTTAAATCGATATGCATTAGTTAAAGGTAGAAAAAGCAATTTTATGCATAAAGAACAAAAAAAAAAAAGAAACTTTTATATTTTAGCTGGTCTTGAATTATTTGCTCAACATTCAACTTTATTTACTGAATATCTTTATGATGATTATCCTGATATACTTCGTTGTCTTCGTGCATGGAATGCACATGATAATTATGATGTAAAAAAAATTGCTCAACGTGCTTATGATACATTTTTACTTGGAGTAAAATATTTTTTTAGTCGAAACTTTTTTGTGTCTAGTTTTTTTTGTATTTTAGGTTGCTAATGCTTTAAAAGAATCGAATGTTAAAACATCAGAACAACGCCGTCGTGCTGTACAAACATTTCAATATTTTATTAAAGAATTTCGAGATAAAATCGATTCACCAGAATTAGAAATTCGAGATTTAGCTATGGGTATTCGTGGTTACGGTATTTTTGCAAATGTAAGATTTAGGAAAAGTTTGTTTTTAGACTTTTATTGAATGTTCTTGGTTGCATACTTAATTTGCATAAGGAAAAGGAAGAATTTAGTTTTTTTCATCGATTTTCTCAACTAGATATTTGGAGACATCATTGAGTGTGTCTTTCAGTGTTTCCCTTAGTGAAAGATCATAAATAATTTTTTGTTAAGAAGTTTCACAAGACACAATCAGGACTAATAGTAGATGCTCGTTACATTGTTTATTGTTCATTGATTAATTTATTTTTCTGAATAACCACTCGTATTTTGTGGTTGATAATTTTTTATAGAAATCATAGACTAATTCTCATATCTCTCTGATTCTATAGATAGCGGAGCCATCCGACTCGGATTCATCGAAGCGTATTTTTAGATTCGACCAGTGCATCACAATGCTTATACTAATACCAATAGTTTTTGTCGGCTGATTATTACACTTTCTTAATTAAACAGACTTGAAGAACTTTTTTGAGGAAATATTCTGAAAATATCTTTTTTTTTAAACAGACACATACATCCCGTTTTAAAAATCAATAAATGTTTCTTATAGTCATACTGTTTTACTATGCATGACTTGTTTGTCTTCCGAAACAAAATAAAAACCTAGTCGTCTGCTTCCGTTCAATTATCATCATAATTGTAGTATACAAAGAACATACACTGACGGAAACAAGCCACCAGCCAATGGAAAATAGTAATGTAAATTCTCAAAAAAAAAATAACGCCAGTCCGTAAAAAGAGAGAATACAGAGAAATATTGGTTTATAACTTAAACAAAGTCAATATTACAAATGTAAACCATATTATTCTTAGAGACAAAAAAATCTTAGATTTGAACGGTCTCAAACGATTTGTTTTCTCGTCTAAATCGACTAAAATTTTGCGAACTAATTTTTAAATGAAACTAAAGAAAATTTTTGTGTTTTGACTATTAAATTATTGTGCACATTGATCAAAAGACAATGATCGAGCGATTCTATTCACTAAAAATTAATCACTATGCAAGATGCAAAAAAAATACACTAGCTTCCAAGAACACAATGTTTTTTTTTAACACGATCAACTTGATATATATAAAAAAAAAGTAGTTTTCCATATGAAATATCTAGATATGGGATCGAAGCGAACACTTTTTTGATTGAAGGTGATATCTTCTATGATCGTAAAAAACTTCTGTCATATTCTCACACCTGATATGTTCTAAAAGTTTACACGAAAATTATTAAAACATATCACCGTGCAGAATAGACGAAAAATTCGTGGATTAAAAAAAGTCATGAATCTTTACTAGAGACGATATTAAACGTCGTACACAATGTCTCGAATTCATAGACAATGCTAGAATAATTATTTCGTATTTTTCGCTAATACATGAATTTCTAAACGCGAAGCCAGGACCAAAAATTCCTATTTATAAAATAATTTTCTTAACGTCTTTATTTTATATAGGCTTGTAAACTTTATGGTACTGAAGATGATGTTAAATTTATGTTTGTTGGTTTAATTCAACGATGTGAACAAATAGCTATGCCAACAATAACATTATCCCAAGCAACTGATGTTTTTGATGAACGTTTTTATGCATTACCAAATTTACTTGATGCACTTTCTGCTATTATTATTGAGATGACAAATGTAAAAATAAGAAAAAAAAAAACATTCATCTTGATATTAATGAAAATATTTTTGTTTAGATTGGTGAAGAATTTCTTGGTCCACTTGAACGTTTAACTGTCATGACAATTGATTATTATCCGCGTTATCAACCAAAACCACAAGCAACAACATGTTCATCTGTTATTAAAATGATTTTAGCTTTACAAACTAAACCAACATCATATAAACCATTTTTAACACGAATTGGTTTTTATTTATATTTAATAAATAATTTTTAAATTGTCTTATTATTCTTATATTTTAGTTAGTCAAGCTATAATACGTTGTTGTTCACATCCATTAAAATCAACAGTTGAACAACAAATAGAAAATGTTGAACCAGATATATCTGAAGAACAAGCAAAATCTCTTATATCTATTGGAAAAACAATAACCTATGAAAATTATATACCATTATGGAAAACAATTTTAAATGTAACATCATTAAAAGAATTTGATACAAGTACATATCCAATATTTGATCGACAAAATATGCTTGTTTCATTATATGATGAAATGATTGATTCAATATTACATATTATTGATCGACTTGATTTAAGTGTTGATAAAGAAAAAACAGAAGTAAAACAAAGAAAATTAGATTTGTTGGTTTGTTATTTGATTGAAAATTTAATTTAGGATGAAAATGATGATGGCACGACAACAACAGATCCAGTTTTTGGAATGAAACCTGTTAAACCAAAAGATTTTGAAATATTTTATAATCTTGTCGATTTTTGTCAGTAAGAATAGAAAAATATTTTTTCAAAATTGATTGTATTTTTGATTGCAAAATAATTTATGTTAATAGTGTACATTTTCATTATAATCTAATATAAGAAATGAGCTATGAACAACAAGAAATTCTTAATAGATTTAATTTTCGAGTTACAATTCATTTTATTCCTCGAGAATGAATTTGATATGAAAATTTTATTGTAAACATTTGATTGCCAATACAAATCATTCGTGACAATCTTATACCTATCTAAAATATAAATTGTAAAATATTTCTATGAATTTAATCATTTCTACATATATAATCTGCCGTTAGTTACAAAAATTTGTATCGGAGAAATATTTTAGAAAGAAGATTGAGTTACTATCGAGGAAAAATCATTATAGACGAATAGTAGTTTTTTACGTGCAATAACTGTTTAAACAGTCATATGTTTTAACCACCCCCCCCCCCCCCCGCTCGTACATTACATTAGAACAATCGAATCTTATAAATCGATCAAGAAAAGTTGTTTTTTTTAAACTTTCCTCTGATATCTTGCCGATTTTCGAACCCAACTATGCTGCCAAAATGTCCACAGTCATGCCCGATGATTGAGAAACATTCTTTATTCATTGAGAGTCGTCATGACTGAGTGACTACGTCGTTTGACAGATATTCACAAATATTCAAATCTCAGTACCATCAACTATGGAATAATCCAGAACAAGTCAGTCACTAATGAATGCTTGTTTGCTTAGTATGTTGTGGAATATGTCTACTCCTATGGCTAATGTCTATGGAGAACTCAAGCAAGTGAATGCAAGAACTCTGCATCAGACTTCCTTTCTGTCCAAAGATACAATTAGTATCAGCTGCAGTGAAGATATTGTACTGCTGACTTTGTGGTTAGGCAGCACTCCATGTTACAAGGTTGCCGAAAGGCAGAGATATTTCTTTATTAATTCAAAAAGAATTACACTACATACTCCGTCTAAAGCATTATTGTATTCTACATATCATTAGATTCTTTTGTTGTTCTCAAATACAATTATACCAATTTGAGTCGAAAAGAAATGAGTGATAAGTTCATAGTCTATAAATCATAGTTATCAGTTAGTGTTCAGACGAAGAGATTAATTAGTTTAATTTTGTGTAGAACTTTCATATGAAGAGAGAAAATCTTGATCTTTTCGCATATCTAAAAAATCTTTTAATGTTATGAGTACGAACGCACAGAGCTCTATTTTCAAGTACTTGTATACCTTTTTTAAATGCTTGCATACCTCTTGACGGATCTATCGAAAGACGAAACTTCAAACAATTACGAAAATCTAATCATATAATTCTTTTTATTAAGCACTATGAAATGAAAATTCTCTATTAAATTATTAGCATTTTTTTTCTATCATAGAGATTTATTACCTGAACAATCACCAGATTTATTTCAAAAATGGATATTTCGATTTTTATATGAAATTATTACTGCTTCAACAAAGTAATTCAAAAATTAAAACATATCATATCAATCTTTAATTAATATTTTTTTTATATAGATATCCATNCTATCATAGAGATTTATTACCTGAACAATCACCAGATTTATTTCAAAAATGGATATTTCGATTTTTATATGAAATTATTACTGCTTCAACAAAGTAATTCAAAAATTAAAACATATCATATCAATCTTTAATTAATATTTTTTTTATATAGATATCCATTAGTTAGCGGAATGTATCGATTTGTTACATTAGTTATGAATATATGTTTAAAATTAAATTTTTTCAAAGTATACCAAAAATAAAAGGAATCAATCTTTGTTATAAATTTTATTTCTTTAATATAGTCTGATCGATTAATTCCAACAACTCGTGGTGGTATTGAAATAATGGATATAGATATAAATGAAAATGAACAAGTTGCATCAGTTTGTACATTAGTTCGACGTTTTGCACATGAAGTATTATCACGTCAAAAACAATATCGTGATGATTTACTTATATCATGTTTACAATTTATTATATCATTACCATCAGAATGTATTGATTATGATTTTTCTGATTATGTACCAGCTATTCAAGTNAATATTTGTTTGTTTTGTTTTTCAGCTTGCTTTAAATATTGGTTTAACTTATTTACCATTAGCTGAACAAACAATTAATAGTCTTGAACGATGGTCACAATCAACAGCATTAAATTTATCGAATTATTATGATCAAATATTACCTTTTCTAGATGATTTTCTACGTTTATCACATGATCAAGGTAAAGCAAAAAATGAAGAATATATAGAAGCTCTATAGAATAATTAAATATTTTAGGTGAAGATGTTAATGTTCGTGCTATAATATCATCTTTACAAGAAAAAACACGTCTGAATTCGAAAAGTAAACATGTCTTGCCAACAAGAATGCTTAAAAAAACAAAACATATTAAACATGTATGTTGTCATTTTACATTTTATATAAGTACGACAGTCCAGAACACAACAAGACTGAAATCTCTAGTGGGAAAGAAAGGTGTTAGCTGATGTGATGTCGATCATTAATGGAAGGCTCAGCTTCCTACTCTCTCATTTGGTTACACTACTATGGTGTGAGTGAGGAGAATATTTACACTTTCCTGTTAAATAACCAACATAGAAAGTTTTCAACCAGTTGAAAACTATTAATTATCGATTATTGTATACGAACTTTGCATTTCTAAATTTAAACGTCATAAATACATATCGTTTAAACTTTTCAGTACGATCGAAAATAAAGAGTGCGCAACTGATGTCTAGTTAAGTCTTCTAGAATGCTATTTATAAAGTCAGAAATGATAGAAGGATTTCTTTTTGTTATCAATGGATTTAAGTAACAAGTGCTGGGTTTTTTTTTCAAAAAACGTTGTTTTCCTTGACTTCGCAGGAAGATTGAACTATTTTTGCTTGGAATGGAAATCATCGAGCCCCCAATGAATAATTTCTATCGGAAAAATTGTAGAAATTTGGTGACTGAATTTATCTTCTTATACTATAAAATCTGATTTTGATTAAAAACTTTTTATTTGCTTTTGTTTTTTTAAAAAGCTTTTCGAAGATAGTGACATGCGTCGAGTTCAATTTCGTATATTAAAATATCTTGGTTCAATAGGCAATCGTACAAATCATTATCTTATTGATAATGCTTCAAATTATTTAATAAAAGAAGCTGTAGCATGGGATAATGAAAATCATTTAACATTTAATGTTCCATTTGACGATATTAAACCAACAATACATCTTGGTAAAATACAAAATTTATTTTCATTCAATCAATCTTTATTTTCTATATTTCATTTAGATATTTTTCTACCTCGTATAGTCGATTTAGCATTACATAGTTCTGATCGTCAAACAAAAATAACAGCTTGTGAATTACTTCAATCAATAATGCTTTATATGATTGGAAAAAGTGNGTGATTTTGAAAGTCATTATGACTGCGCCTATGTATTTTTTTCAGTTCGAGCTTGATAAAGAGTTAAGTACCTGTTTGTTTGGATTTGAGTCCGATGGCCTAGTGCTAATCAATGCAGGAAGTGTATTTCGAATTCTTACTGTGGAATTGTTGTCTAATGGCTCTTGATTAATAAAATTCGTTTCGAAAACAGCCGTGCTTGACGATCTTCAAAAAATTATTGAGCATATAGAAAAAGAGATCAGCGCAGAGATAGATTTGCAAAATCTCAGAATTTCCCTACTTTATAAAGGGCAGTATGAGAGGTCACTAAGATATCCTACTATTGCTTGTAGTGAACTTCCCCCAGATAGCTCGGAAGTTTTTGGTATTTATCAAAATATCGGTGCAGCTTACTATAAAGTGGGTAAATATGAATTGGCTCTGAAGTATTTACAAAAATATCTTGATCATCGTTTAAAAAATACTTCAGCTGCTGATCTCTCTCTCAAAGGTATCTATGCTGATATTGCAACTATCTATACGGAAATGAATATGCTTGATGAAGGATTAAAATATTGCGATATGGTAATATCTATGCAGTCAGGTGAATTAAAAGACAGTACAGATGGAGATCTTATGAGATATTTCATTGCGCAAGCTTTATGTTTTGAAAGAAAATTTACTTCGAAGTTAGCGCTAGAATCAAATTTCAAGGCTCTTGAAATAGCTTTGCGTATCTATTCAAAAAACAGTCAACATCTTGGTGCTCTGCACAATAATATAGCGTCGTGTTACCTGAGTTTGCGTGAGTACAAGTTAGCTGTTAAATATCATAAGAAAGCATTGAAAATTTAAAGGGGTGTGGGTGGGTGTGTGGGTGTAGGTGTGGATGTGGGTGTGGGTGTGGGTATTGATAATACTTCAAATTATTTAATAAAAGAAGCTGTAGCATGGGATAATGAAAATCATTTAACATTTAATGTTCCATTTGATAATATTAAGCCAACAATACATCTTGGTAAAATACAAAATTTATTTTCATTCAATCAATCTTTATTTTCTACATTTCATTTAGATATTTTTCTACCTCGTATAGTCGATTTAGCATTACATAGTTCTGATCGTCAAACAAAAATAACAGCTTGTGAATTACTTCAATCAATAATGCTTTATATGATTGGAAAAAGTGCAAATAATCGAAGCAATGCAGCGGTTTGTGTTTTTTTAAATTTTATAATCAACAATAAGAAATGAAAATTTTCGTTTTTTTTTTCATTATTCAGGCTTCTTATGAAAAACTTTATGCTCGTTTATTTCCAGTTGTACTTGAACTTTCCTGTGATTCTGATACTGTAGTTCAAAAAAATTTTTGTTTTGTTTAATTTAATTGAAATTTTTTTTTTGAAATCATTTAGTTTACAAAAACACTTTTTACTACATTTATGATTCAAATGATACATTGATTTACTAAAAATGAAAATCCTGAAACAATGTCAATGCTTGATACTTTTATGGTTTGAAATTTATTTGAATTATTAATTGTTAAAATTGATTAACTTTTTTTTTTGTTTTCCTCTTATAGGATGGTATGACATCTGGACGTAACGCATCGATACGTGATTTTAGGGATGTTTGTTTAAAAAAATTTCTTAAATGGGCTGTTAAACATGCTGGTGGTTTTGATAAATCTGCTTATGTAAAAAATGCAACATCAATTCTTAAACGTATTATTAGTTTTTCAATGCATCCAAATAGTTTTAAAAGACTTCGTTCAACATTAGCATGGAATTCAATTTATACACTTTATCGGTATATTAAAAACTTTATTTTAATTAATTTGAAATAAAATTTAATTTAATAATATTTTAGTGAATCGGAAACGTTAATAGATGTTTATACACTTCAATTACTTTATGTATTTGTTGAAAGTTTAGCTATTGCTCAAGGAGATGATCCATCTCTAGGTAATATTTATATTTGATTATGTCTTTTTTCGATTTGTGCGTGAGTCTTTGTGTAGGTACTCAACGACAAGCAATAGAAACTTTATCACATGTACAAAGAATCATAAAAGAAAAATCCCAAGTATTTATTAAAGAAACATCTAAACAACATCGTCCATCGTAGATATTTTGTTTCTTTGGAATTTTTGTTTCTTGAAGAAAATATTTTATTTAGATCATGGACTGATGCAACATTTGATGTTGCTGTTCGATGGTTACTTAGACAATGTGGAAGAATTGAAACTGAATCAAGGCGAAAATATATTGAACTTGCTTGTACATTTATTCCATTATTGTCTGGTAATAAAAAATAATTTTTCTTTTAAAGAAATAAATTTAATTTATTCGTTTTTAAAAGGTATTCGATCGATTAGAGAATATTTTGAATTAAAAGTTAAATCAGATGGAAATGTTTATTTCATTGAACTGTAAAAATAAAAGATTAAAGAAATGTTTTTTTATTATCTTAATTGAAATTCTTTTTTTTTGTGGCTGTTGTAGATTTGAAGGAACATTAAGTAAAGAAAAGAAAAGAAAATTTAAAGCTAATTTGGCTAATCAAACATGTTTTACTAATATGAGTGAACAATTTTCAGTTCCAATGGTTTATCAATGGCTTGATACTGTTATTGCTTTATTAGATTGTTATACTTGGGTATATTCACAAGGATTTCTGAACCCTATTTTATTTCAAGGTAAGTTTATAAAGTTTTTAACAACTGATTAATCTTGAACAATTAATTAACAATTATCTAATCATTCGATTAATCAAATAATTAAATATTTCGAAATAAATTAATTCATTCACATTAGTAGTTAATTAACGAATATTATATATCATAGAATCTAAGTACCTAGGTAGCAAATGTTAATTAATTGGCTGCTAATTGAATTAATTAATAATATAAAATAATTTATTATTTTATATTGTTGCTTATTCATGTTATTGGAAACTATTCTATTATTTTTAGACAAAAAATCAACAAAGCCGTGTAATTGTTGTATTATCATATTTTATAACAAAAATATCAATGAATACACTATATGATATAATTACGTACTTTCCACCATCGAATCAAACAAATGTATTTACACCGACTGATATTAGTCAATTTGAAACGTAAATGAAGAAAACGAAAAAAAAATTAATTGTGTTTTTATTATCTTGAATTTTGTATTATGATTTATTTTAGAGCAAAATGTACAGTTATTGTTCGTTTATTGAATTTTATTACAGCACTTTGGTCTAAATATCCACAAGATGCAATGCGAGCTATTGATAGTTCATTTTATAATAATGATTTAACAAAATTAATTTTAACTTGTGTAATTATCTTATTTCATTACTTATTTGTACACAAACAGAAGCAAAACTTCATAAAGCTTTTATTTGTTATGCTAATTCAGCTAAGGTAAATCATATGGTTCAAAAATGAATAGACCATGCGTTGAAACAAAACTTTGGTTCAGTGTTCGAGATAGTTCAGACAGTATCAGGTAATAGAAGGTTCGATTAAGAGATCCTCATAATGAATTTCCTACTTAGAATGATCTGTTTGGGCTGAGATTTTCAAGTATGAATGAAAAATACTATGGATAAAAATTTCAGCTCGATAAGCCATCCTAGATCGAATTTCCAGCTTATTCCTAACCCATTCATGGCCTCAAGAAGAACCCATAAGTAGTGTCCTGAAATCCGATTGGGCGCCCGGACCATGGCTCCGGGTGCCGGAGGCATGACCTCATATCTGAATCCGACATGGCAATTAATGCTGACTATATTGAAAAAAAAAGCTATATATATTCTGCAAGCGGAGACTTCAGTATGATAAAAACTAAATTTCGATCTTTTTGTCGAAAACAAAAAAAACATGGATATCCTGACAAGAAAAGTCCCGCGACTGATAACTTGCTTTTAAGTCGAGACTATGTGCATTATGTAAATCCAAATGAGCTATGAATACTCTCAAAAAAGAATTCGTGCCCCTTCGCTTATTGCACTTTTACGGTATTTTTTAAATGAATGTCGTGATTCAGAAAAACTGATTTTCGAATTTTGACTTAGAACTTTGCATGGAGGCAGACCTTAACGAGAGTTGTTTCAGGTCTTTTGATTTGCTTCTATCCTGAAATAAGAACATAAAATCTGTCGATTTATACAGGCGATGTAAAAAGACACTCTATTGCCACAGTTGTATCTTATGATAGGAACAGCAACAAGATCTGAAATATTTCACAAAAGAACTACTCTGATTAAGACATGTCTCTATGCAAAGTTTCAAGTCAAAATTCGAAAATCAGTTTTTCTGTGAACCACAGTATTCATTTAAAAAAATACGGTAAAAGTGCAATAAGCTAAGAGCACGAACTCTTATTAGGGTATTCATAGCTCATTTAGATCTACATAATGCACATAGTCTTGACTCAAAGGTGATTTATCACTTGGAGAACTTTCCTCGTAAGATTTAGTCTTAATTCTAACTAAATAAAAACATATATTTTGCAAAATGTTTGCTTTATTTGTATTTCAGGATGAATATATTTTTGAAAATTTAATTGATCCAGATTATAAATATACATTTCCTCTTGAACTTGAACGTTATTATGCAAAAGATAAACGTACATTATTAAATATATTATGTAAAAACCTTTAAACAACATCTAAATTAGATAATCCATTACATCAACAACGTCCATCTAGTACACCACGTTATTTATCTTCACAATATTTATTTGGTAGTAGTTTAACAGATGAATTAGCTGTTTTTGATTTTATATCAGCTGCTGTTAATCAACAACACAATGATTTAAATAAAAGTTTATCAAATTCTTTATCAGATAATTCATCAACAAATATAATTAATCAAAAAAAAATGATGATGATAGACCAGCATTAATCGAAGATTCTGATGATGAAATAGGTTCTGAATTTATTGATATGGAAATAGATGAACTTAATTTACATCCATGTATGGTACCAATGGTTTGTTTATTAAAACATATGGAAACAAATGGATTAATTCCAATAAATGATCATATTTTACAAACACCTGAAATGCCACCATGGATGATATTTATGTATAAAAAATTTAGTGATCCACTTATATCATTTAATATAACATTATTTCTTATGCGTCTTATTATTCATACACATACAATATTTAAACCATATGCACGTTATTGGTTAACACCAATAATTCATATGTGTAATCAAATGTTTGAAAATTCATCTGAAGATTTAAATACATTTATAATTGATACAATTGTTATATTATTATCATGGCATAAACAAGCTATACCAAGTGAATTTGATTCAATAGCTGTACAACGTCTTATTGAATATTTATTTTCAAATTGTTCACATCGTAATGTTATTGTTATGAAATCAAATTTAGATTTAATTAAAAAATTAATTGAATTTTGAAAAGAACGTATGCATTCATCAACATTAATTTTATATAAATTAATATCGGAACCAGATTTAAACTCAAAACAAAATGCAATTGGTCTTTCATTAATTGGAATATTATTAGCTAATGATATTTTACCATATTATGTACCACCAACACCAACTGGAAATCTTCCACCTGTAAAAACTGGTTCAATATTATCAACTATACCAAATGATTTAACGAAAGATAAATTTAATGATACAATATTAAAAAATATGAAAAATACTTATAGAAATATATATGCAGCAGCAGCTGGAGCTATTGGAATGTTATTAAATATTAAAAAACTTAAAAATGAAACAAATCAACGTTTATTAGAACAATTAAATTTAATATTAAAATGGCATAATAGTCAAGGTTTATCAGATACATATGTAACATGTATTTATTCAATACAAAAACATTATCCATTAATTGTTGATAAAACG